ACCATTATGTAGATAAAAGTCATTGAAATTACTTGGCTGCTTCTGGCAGCTTGAAAAAGTTATTTGGCTAACTGTTCAACCCACAGCACTGATATTTGCAAAATAATATATAGTAAATTGGCAGCTATATTCATTAAAAGTTGTTGATATTCCATGAGCACTTGTGACAGCTGCTATACAATTTCCAAAATTATTTGGCATTATCTCAGAAATTATTAAAGCTATAATATAGAAATTTCGCGAAAATAATTGTATTAATAGGGCTGGTATGTGTGATAAAATCATTGAAATTTCTTGACTCCTTGTGGTAGCTGCCAACTTCAATATTTGATCAATAATTTTGGTGCATTTTTTATACCGGTACGAACGTATGTTCGAACGGTATACTAAATTTTCCTTACCGTTTGTAACGCTAAGAAATAACGGTCTTAGATATAGACTCAAGTGTATGTTTTTGATCAGCGTCGAATTCTGAGATGATTTAGCTTTGTCTGTCCGACCGTCCGTCCGTCCGTTCCAACGATAACTCAAAAACTAATTGAGCTAAGTTAACCAAATTTTCACAAAGAATTTATTGTAGTAAGTGTCAGAACCCTATTTAAATTGGGCATGATCGGAGTACCGGTTCGGGTAGCTGCCATACAACTTCAAACTTTATTTGGCTATATCTCAGGAACTATAAAAGCTACGGTATTGAAATTTCACATAAACGAATATATTAGTAGGGCCAATGTGTTCGATAAAAGTCGTTCAAATTACTTGGCCCCTTCTGATACCTGCCATACAACTTCAAAAGTTATTTGGCTATATCTCAGAAACTATAAAAGCTATGGTATTGAAATTTCGCACAAACGAATATATTAGTAGGGCTAATGTGTCTGAAAAAAGTCATTCAAAGTACTTGGCTCCTTCGGGTACCTGCCATACAACTTCAAAAGTTATTTGGCTATATCTCAGAAACTATAAAAGCTGTGGTATTGAAATTTCACACAAGCGAATATATTAGTAGGGCCAATGTGTTTAATAAAAGTCGTTGAAATTTCTTGACTCCTTCTGGTAACTCCCATACAACTTTAGTAGTAGTTTGGCCATATCTTAGATAATATTCAAAACACAGTACTGAAATTTGGCATAAATTAATATGGTAATATGGCAACTTAAAGTCATAGTTTGTGCCATAGTCAGTTATGGCATATTTGTTCACTATAGGACAACAAATTCGTACGGGTATCACAGAGTTGACAAGGTCAACTCTATTTTTTCTCGTTTTAAATATGCATTACACTTTAATTAAATAATAATTTTCTTTTTGTTATATTTTTTATTCTAAACATAAGTACTTCCTCCAGGAATGAGTACTTATTAAGCTAATTGTGCAGAATTAAACTAATTCTTATTATGTCCGTAATTCATAAGATACCACTTGTACGAATTATGTATATAAAAGGATTAATTGTATAATGGTAATTTGTAAATTTATATACAAGAAGTAAAACCCAATTAGTAAAGAGTATATTCTGTTTAATAAAATTAAGCTTAAGAAACCGGAAATCAACACAGAGATTATGCTTTTTAATTGCAAGACAATAAAAAGTGAACCTAAGTATTATTTACCAAATTACTGTATTATACAGTGCGAAATTCGAAATAAATTCAAATTTAATTTCTTGCAACAGTTTCAAAATTATTTTTCCCAATGAATAAATGGCCGATTTATATTCAAATGAAAAATTAAGTTAATTATCTATCATGAGTACATATATTAAGATTGAACTAAATCTTCATTTACGACCAGATTTATACTTTTATTCCCATAATCATTTTCATGATTTTAAACAGTAAGTAATCAATTTTATATTTTGTATATATCACATACGTATAGTACAAGACATGTACAAAATTTACGTAAAAAATGCTACATACTACATAGTATTATGTAGGAGTATATCTTGAAACATTAATTTTAATTGAAATATGAAATAAGTGTTGTTTTATAAAATTCAGTTAGTTTTATTTATGGAAAGAATTCTTATTTTTTATTTTTTATGATAAAAATAAAAAATACAAATTTAAATTGCTTTTGATATTATTTGATAAGTTCGGATTATGATTACGCCATCATAAAATGTTATCGATATAAAAATAAACCATAAGTGTCTATACAAACAAAATATTATGCAGGAACATGTGTTATATGCATAATATGATTGTCATATACATATACATATTCATATTTTATGGTGATAATCTATTATACTTATATCTAAAATGTATTTTAGGATGGAAAAACTTTACATTTTTGACGTGACATACATGTGTACGCATTTTCTCGCTATCTTTTTTGAATTGTGCATCAAAAAAGTCACAAAAAATATTAAACCAGTACGACATATCAAATAAATATATCAATCGATAATTGAATGCAGTATGTTGATTAACCTCATAAAAGCAAAAATGATATTCGAGTCGTTTATGTAATATAAAAAATTTTAATGCCATGGGATAAAACTAAAATAAAATCGATAAGTAAATAAGTATAGTTAAGGTTTAAAATTTCATAGTAATTATATAATTCGATCTTATTTTTTGCTGTACAAAATTCATTTATAAAGCAGTAAAATATCGTATAAAATTATTAAATAAGTTTGTAATCTGTCGGAAATCTCAACTAATTTAGTTATTATGTAGAAGTTCTTTTAGGAGGTTTTTAGAAAAAATTCTAATGTAACAAACTCTATGTCTCAGAGTGTGAAGTTAGTTCACGTTACTAACACTTGCTAAATTGTCATGAAAAAATTTCACATAATTAGAATTGGGGCACTTTTTATCTTAAACTTTTTTTCTTGTTGTAATAAAAATTTCTCAAATATTAGAAACTGAAAAATTAGTTCTTTTCAATAATAAATTTTTTAAGTTAGCCTTTCACATATTTTCATTTATTTATAAAAATAAATTTAATTGTGTTCATCTTTTGAGTGTATTAACCTTTCCATCGATCCATGTTTGAACTGTAACAATCAGATTGTTAATTACATCAACTCTTCCATTTAAATCCAAACCATCTAAATTTAAATCATTTTCTAAAGAGTCAATCATATTTACTAATTCTTTATAATCGGCCTCAGGTAACTTATCTTTCATACACGTTTCCACATTACTTACAAAAATATGCACAGTATCCATAAATGAATCGGTAGTATATGAGTCAATTAGATCTCTAGCATCTAGAATTGAGTCAATTGTTGTTCTTCTTTCATCTAAAATGGTTAATATATTATCAATTAAACCATTTGTTCCTGATTGGCCTTTCGATTCGTTTAATTTATCAACCAGCGCATCAATTGGAACATTGCAATCGATGAGTTTTGAGTTATCTGAACTCGATTTAGCTTGTTCTACTAATTTTTTCATACAGCTGTTAACGGCATCGACATAACTTGCTAAGTCTATAGTTTGACCAGCTGAATTTACAATATTTTGGAATTGTGTATTAACATAATTTTGTAAAGTTTCTGATTGCGTTTGTTCTTGTTGATGAAACATATCAAAAGCTTGGGTTTGAATATCAATAGTAACACCCAAATACGAAGTAATTTGGTTTAATCCTTTTAAAACAGTTCCAACAATATTTGTCAAGGTTTTAATCAAAATCCCGATTAATCCAAGAACTATATATAAATTAGGTTAAAAAAAATTTTTGAACAAATAATTCTAAAAAACAAAACTTACTTCCTTTCGGTGGACTAGCCTTTTGACCACATACATCGGTTTCAGTATTGCCAAATAGACTACTTAAAAAATTGATTTTATTTTTCTCCAATGAATTATGTAAATTTGTTAAAATATTATTGTCTGAAGCCGGTTTAAGCAAGCTGTCTACTGGTCTTAGCAGGTTGTCTACTGGTTTAAATAAATTATCTAAAGGTTTAAGCAAATCTCCAATTAGTCCTGGATTTGAATTCACAAGCGAAATCTTATTAAATAAAAAAATATTGATTTACGAATAAAACCCTTACATACACATCTACATGGCTATATTTAGTATATTGTTAGAATTTTATATCATCTAAATATTCTAATTCACCTGACTTAAGCTCAGAATTGTTAAAATAATTAAACTTAGATACATCTTTGGTATTTTGTTTTAATTTTTAAAACGTTTTCAATCAAAAATTTATATTAACTGACTGTTTAAATAATTGAAAAGGTCTTTAAATATAAGTTAAAGTGTAAATTTTTATGTAGTATAAATTTCTTCAGAGTTTGAGAAATTGATTTGCGCCTTTGCCAATTGTACAAATATTTTTTATTTAATTTAGTTCACAAATATGTATTTAATTTTATAAAAAGAGTAAAACATATATATGTATGCATACAATATAGTAAAAACCTATAAGCAATTTCAATTATTCTTAAAACCAGCTCATTTAGTTCAATATAACTTCGTATATGCAAAATTAAAAGACAAATTAGTCTTGCGAAGTTTAAAATGCGCATGTGAACTTTTCCGAGAATAGTTCTTGGAATTCCGAGAATTTACTTGGCTCAAATACACTATACAGTCGTACGAAACAAAATTGCCTCATTGAAATTTAATACATTAAATTTATACATTATGTGTAGCTAACTGTATAATAACTACAAATAACGATGCCATTAGTTGGTTACAATAATTGATAATTTAAATTATATTCGTTTGTATTACCACAATTGACTTGATTGAATTTAATTGAATTCTTTTACTAAAAAATTGAGAAAATTGACCAAATAATTGTTTGGGAAATACTCTTAGTAATCGAAAACGAAGACTTTACCAAACAGGTACAAAAATGTCATAGTATGTGTTTTGAACACATTTTTGCTTAAATACCAAGTAGCAGTTATATATATATAGCATTAATACATACTTAATATAATTTATATAATAAAAGCAAATGCAAAATATATCCAATACACATTTTTTAGTTTATTTAAAATGTACAAATTTTTTAAAGGTTTTAATTTCTGAATTTAGTGACAAACTGTAAACTTAGAATATGTGTGTTTAAACTTTAAGCAAAACTAACCTAATTTAGAGGGAAAAAAAAACAAATAAGGAGATAATCCTATTATTACTTAAAATTCGGTATATTAATTGGGAACGTTGCGATTTATGAATGTTCTCTGTGCTTAACTTCTCTTTAAATTAATTGATTTAATTGCCTTTAGGATGCATGCAAGCGTTTTGATTTAATAATTTGTAAATACCAAATCTGAAAAAATTATAATCTTTATGTTTTTAAAGTTTTGAATTTATCCACCCTTCTATAAAAATATTTTCATTAGAGATTAAATCGATTCTCTTTTGTATATCCAATTCATTGAAACTTAAATCGATTTCTAACGCATCGATCAAATTTATTAATTTTAAGTAATTCGTTTCAGATATTTTGCCTGCAATACACATTTTTATATTATTTACCAAGCTATCTACGATGTTCTCAAATGTTTCTTCCGCATAAAAATTTATAAGCTTCTTAGCATCTAGAATTGCATTAATTGATGATTTCCTTAATTTTAATATATCCAATATTTTTGAAATATACGAAATATCTGTAAAGCTGTTAGTGTTAGAAAATTCATTAATTTTCTTTGCTAGAATATCATTTGAACCATTGCAATTTAAATAATCGAAATTGAATTCATATGAACTAACTTGTTCGATAAATTTTTCCATACAAACATTAACACTATTAACAAAACTGTCTACATATATCTTATCAATCGCAGTACCTTCAAAGTACTCAAATTGAAGATTAACATAAGTTCTTAAAATTAATGATAATTTCTTTTCTTGCTCAAGAATATTATTAAATATATTGGTTTGAATTAAACTGACGTTAGTTAAATATTCAGTAAATTTTCGTAAACCGTTCGTAATAACTCCAGCTAAATTTTGTAAAACACCAGATGATTTTAATGAGGTATCCGATGCAACATCATCAATTATCTGAAAAACTACAAAAAAAAATTTATAGTGTAATTTAAAAATTTAAATTTTCAGAATATGTACATTTACATATATGAAATGCATTGTAATTGTAATTATCTATTATTTAATCACTTATTTACAAGAACAATATCAGTATAAAATATTCAATTGCTATACTTACTTACATACACGCGAAGAAGGTATATACATATATGTACATATTTTTTATGTACTATTAACTTTAATATAATTTTTAAAACTCACTTGAATTCCCATTTTCTATCGGCATTTCTGAAATCAAATTACAAATCATATCACAAAAATTATTCAACAAAGGCGTGAAACTATCCAAAAAAACCGCTTTATTTTCTTCCAATGAAATTTGTAAATTTTTGGAAATTGAGTTCAATAAATCTAAATTTACTGAATTTACCAAATTATTTGTAAACGTTACTTCAAATGAATTCATTGTTGAGCGCACTAACAATGTCTAATAAAATAACAAAAATTTATTCAAACAATTTAAGAATTTATACTACTCGTATATCGATAAATGTATGTATATTATTACCTGATCGAAGTTCAAAATTGTTAAAATTAAAAAAATAAACTGCATCTTGAAGAATTTGATATTTCTATGACACGTAATATCACTTTTAATTATTTAGATAAACTAAACTCTTAAAATATTTAATTAAAATTCAGAATTAAAAATTTTAAAATAGATTTTCAAATAGATTTTAAAATTTTTTAGGTTGAGTTAAAAGTTTAATGTCTACTTGTTATTTAAATTTTTTTTCAATTGTTCAAATATTATTTTAAAAATCGTTATAAAAAGCACATAAATACATATGTATGAATATTTAATTGCTAGGAAGTAAATAAATGAATGTAAACATTTTGCTACAAATTTTACAAATATAAGAATATAAATGTATATACTTATAAATATAACGGTTTTTCCAAAAAAAAGTTTGAAATTTGGAATTTTGAAATACAATATTGTCAGATTATTTGCTGCGAAACTGTAACCCTGCTTTTTTAGTACATACTTAGTTGTATCAAATTTCTATTGTTTTGAATTTGGAAGATAGTTTTGACTTAAATTTGGATTTGGATCACTCTGCTGTCATATTGATCCTTAAAGTGGTTAAAAAGTCCACAGGGCAGGTCCACTTTAGTGTAGAAAACGATAAATTAAGTAAAACGAAATTTTCCAAGCAGTAAAATTGCTTAAACCGAATTGGGTCTCAGGTTTTAATCTTAGGTTTTATCAAAAATGTCAACGTCTTTCTCGCTAATAATCTTTCATCTTGAGTGAATGACTTTTTATAATCTTTAATCCTTCTTAACTGAATGACTATGGTTCTTAGTAGAATTTCGCTTTATGCGACCTGAATCCTCTGAAAAGTTTACCATTTAGTTTCGGTAACAAACAACTGAATTATCAAATTTCAAAAAATTCCATCAATCCGCTCCGTGTATACTTACGATAAAAAATGTAAAATCGGCACTCAATTTGGTTTCCAAGCCCTAATTTTTCCAAAAAATTTATAGATCCATTTTTTTAACACCCTGATTTTAAATATTAAATTTAAAGAAGGAAATTGGTTAATTATTTCTCTTTATATACCCAAAAAATTTAAATTTGGCTCACAACAAGCTTCAGCTCTCGAGGTCTGACATATGCTAAAAGTTGACCAATCCGTGCCATAGTCAAAATAAACTAACATATAAAATTTCATCAAAATCGGTTCAGCCGAGCTTGGGATACACGCGCGCACACGTATAGCTGTGGTTTTGGGGTGTTAAAAAAATGAATATAAAGGACTCTTATCTTGTATTAAGTTGATCATTTACATCAATTGTTATAATTTACATTTTCATATTTTCAAATCTTGTTCAACATTGAGGCCCCTTAATGTCTAGAAGAGCCAGTTAGAGCAGAAAAACTGAAACGAACGAAATCTCTTGATTTAGCCTAAAGTGCTGATAAGTGGATTAAAACCCTGTACTATTGATAGATAGATAAGTAAAGCGTAAAATACATATGTAATCAGAAGCATAAAAATTTACTCACGTATACTATAATTTATTTTAATGTATTTTTTTCAAACTTATATAAAAATTTTATGTCAAACTTTGTTTTTTCTAGCAATTTCTATTTAAACGAGAAAAAATAGAGTTGACCTTGTCAACTCTGTGATACCCGTACGAATTTCTTATCCCCTGTGCGAATTAATATGCCATAACTGGCTATGGGGCAGACTATGCCTTTAAGTTGCCGCATTGCCATATTAATTTATGCCAAATTTCAGTACTGTGTTTTCAATATTATCTAAGATATGGCCAAACTACTACTGAAGTTGTATGGGAGCTATCAGAAGGAGTCAAGAGATTTTTATCAAACGACTTTTATCAAACACATTGGTCCTATTAATAATATATTCGTTTGTGTGAAATTTCAATACCATAGCTTTTATAGTTTCTGAGATATAGCCAAATAACTTTTGAAGTTGTATGGCAGGTACCAGAAGGAGCCAAGTAATTTCAACGACTTTTTGCAAACACATTGGCCCTACTAATATATTTTTTTGTGTAAAATTTCAATACCACAGCTTTTATAGTTTCTGAGATATAGCCAAATAAATTTTTTAAGTTGTATGGCAGCTACCCGAACCGGTGCCCCGATCATGTCCAATTTAAATAGGGTTCTGGCACTTACTACAATAAATCATTTGTGAAAATTTGGAGAATGTAGCTCAATTAGTTTTTGAGTTATCGTTGGGACGGACAGACAAAGCTAAATCAACTCAGAATTTGACGCTGATCAAAAACATACACTTGAGTCTATATCTAACACCGTTATTTCTTAGCGTTACAAACGGTAAGGCAAATTTAGTATACCCTTCGAACATACGTTCGTACGGGTATAATTACGTTATACGCTTACGTTATTTCTGAAATTTACTTTATTACAAATAAAGATACTATAGTAAAAAGTTTTGCAAATAGCTGTTAATTATTATTATTTTTCATTTAACTCTCAAAAAATGAATTAAAATTTGGCAAATGCTTACGGTTATTTATTGACAAATAAAAAAAAATCAATCTGAGCTCAAGAAGTAAAATTGTGTATTCTTTTAATTGATAATTAATTTTTTTAAGATTATTATTTCCTGAAAATAATTTCTCTTCATCAGTCATATCCATACATGATAATAATTATACATCAGTGTAGGTTAGACAAGATTATATGCATATACATGTATAAATACGTAGTCGAAACTCGATTGTACCCTCAAAACAAGATTAGAATAGATCTCGTATTCTAATACATACATACATTTTTATTTATTTATTGAATGATTTTGTTTTCAAAATAAATACATACATATAAGATAACAGAATAATAATATAACAGAAATAATAATATTAATCATTTTCTAAAAATTATCTTAGACCTTAAGGGGTTAAATATATTTTAAGGTGAAAAAGTAATTATTATTATTCTGATTCACACCATCTTATATCATTTTATTTTATTTTAGTTATGTGAATTCAGAAATCATGAATCGAAAAATAAAAAATGAGCAATAACTATCATAATACGAGTAATATATCTATATACATACATAATATATTCTAATAAGAAACAAAATTGTAAAAGTCATGTGCCAAGGTCAATAATTTTCTTTTATATAATAGCGCTTAAATAATTTTTTATAATGAATTACTTAAAGTATATAAATATATGAAGATATATGTGTGTAAGCATATGCATATACTTCTTATATTTTTTCTTTAAAATTTCGTAACAAATATTTGGGTATCAAAAATGATTGCAAAGGTAGATTTTTAAAAACGATACATCACACAGTATATACATACCGCGCATAATTTTATTAATATCACGAGGACAAAGGAAATTCCAATAAAAACTCGTTAAAATATGATTACTGAAATTATAAGACTTTATTTTTCAGAATTTTTTTTTAAAGGTTTGTGAGGTAACTTAACCAAAGTATAGTATGTGCATACATAATGTAGATTCCTACATACATATTTTTCAGATTTGAATTCATATATTTCAGAATACATTATATTTTTCAACAGAGCAAAGATAAAGATATTTCTAATTAATCTAAATAAATTGATATTGAGTTAATGAGTTTTACATATATAATGAGTTTATAAATATATAATGAATATGTATATATACCTATAGATATATTAGAAAAATACTATAAAACCCGCAAAACAGAGCTCAAACACAATGTATAACCATTTTAATTTTTTTTTTATTATATAATTATGTTATTAAACACTTTATACGAACACATGCAGAATTTCTCTTTTTGAGAAATAAATAAATAAGATAAATACAAGAATACTTTTAGACGATTAGTTTTGTATTTGTATAAGTGTAGGTATTTTTTTTTGTTTGGACATAAGTACATATTTTGATTTTATCTAGAAAATTTTGAATATTTAATATAAACAAAATTATACGTAAATGTATACATACATAAATACGTAAATATAAATGTATGCAAGTGTATATACTATATGTTCATGTACATGGTTTATATTCAACTATCAGTAAACTTTGTTGATCTCTAGACGTTGTTTAAATGCTTTTAAATGTGTTGCTGGGTTTTTGTGGATAAATTTAAATTATAAGCGTTTTTTCATTTTCACAAACCCTATGCGTATTCTAAGAAATTAAGTTGATTAAAATGTTTATGTTTAGTTTGTGATTTGACATAATATACTAAACATAAAACAAAAACTTACTTTAATAGAAATGAGTAACGAATTTCCTAGAATTTGTAATTGCTGTTTCGCCATTTGTTTAAAATTTGCTAAACATGTAAATTTTAAACTCAAGAATTATTCTTATCTGTTTCAAATTTTCAAAAAAATAGATAGGTATCAAAATTTTATCTGTTTCAAATTTTCAAAAAAATAGATAGGTATCAAAATTTTTTAATTAATTAAAATAATAACCGATAACAATTTTATTTTAGTTTTAAGTATAGTTATAAGTTCGAAGTCAAACAAGGTTTTTTCCCATTTTTCCTTAAAATTGCATATTTCTCAATTAAATAAATGCCAAAATATGTATAAAACATTAAAAATATCTTAGTTGTAAAGACTTTAAAACAGCCTAAACTCTATAAAAACAATAACCAACTATTTTAAGACAAAAATTTGTATATTACTGGAAGATTATAAATAAATAAATAAATAAATAAATAATTAAAATATTTTACGCACAAAATACCACAGATATCTATATATATACTTACATACATACTTTTTATTATTATATATTATAGGAGTTTATGAAAATACTCAAGCGAATACAAAGGCATATTTCATCTACGGTTGTTTTCTTGTTTTTTAATCATTCAATTCAAGTTAACCAAAGGACTGACTCAAAAACAATATTTGCACAAGACAAAAAAAATTAATCATTCAATCATTTGCTTATTTTGTCTGTATATGTACATATGTATGTTTTTCCTTTATATATATGGAATTTTTGGTTTGAAATTTTCCCAACCTCAACCCAATAACTCACTTTTTTTGGTTATTTCAATATCTCAGTTGAAAAATAACGAAAACACAATACTTTTTTGACGCTGTTCGAAAAGCATTGACATTGAAAAAAAATTTTTTAGTACTTGAATGGTTAATTTTTTTTGAAGGCGCTAATATTGGCAGTTTACTATCATCACTAAATAAAGATTATCTATTAAAAACAATTCCAGTTCAACTATACATTCATATATGTGTATACATATTTTACGTCAGAGATTCTCATTTATTTTTGCAGGGAATTTATTAAAGTTTGAAAATTCTGTAAGTTTTAAAAATCTGAATTTGTAATACAAAAATAATTTCTTGCGAATGGTGTTTAAAAACTTCTACGGAACACAAAATTTATTCTAGTGTATAAAACCATAAATTAAAAAAGTCCTTTTTAATGCAAATAAAAAATCGATTATGGAAATTTTGTTTTTCTATTCTGAAATTTTCTATCTAATCTAGAAATGGAGATAATATCAAAAATATTGGCAGTATGAAGCATTTTTCGTATACTATTTTTAGAAAATTAGTATGATAGTTTAAGTATGTCTAAATTTCATTATTCTTTTTATTTTTTGATACGTCAAAAATATTTTTAAATATCGCAAACTATTTTTGCTCAATAGCTAAAATTTATGTGTGTATGTATGTAGCTAATTGTTTCCTTAATTTGGTTTTCCAGGTAACGGACTCTACAAAAAATTCAATACAACACGGTAATAATTACATATAATGGCAAATATACCAAGACGACGTCTAAGTTCTGTTGGTGACTCAGCGCCTCCATCCGATTCTTCAGAAGGAACTGCGTCAGAGACATGTGATGTTATAAATCAAGATTGGCCAAGGAGCATAACATCAGATCCTACATCAAATCACCAGTTTCAACATCAACAACAGAAGAATTATCAAAATAATATAAATAATCAAAATTTTACGACAAACTCAACAAATAACATGAGTAATATAAACAGCCATAAGTTAAACCATAAAGAACAAGATGTTGATGCTATTAGTACAGCTAGTACTATATTATCAGAAAATGAACGTAATCAAGTAGAAAGTTTCTTTGCCGGTTTAGGAACAGAAATTTATGTCAGTTCGTCATTAGCTAATTTATATGAAGGTATTGGAAAAGACGATTGGCGTTTAATATATACTGGTATACCGGTATTATTGCATGATAAAGGATCAGCAAGATCCCGCTCAATACCACGCATTACTCTGTGTCTAGCCGAACGTGGTTCATGTTTTGCACTGTGGCGTGACATTATTGACAATTCATCACAATATCGCGCTGCAGGTCCGTCTTTTCATACAATGTCATTATCGTCAAACCTTAATCAAGTAATTGGTTTTAGTTTTGATTCATGTGATGCTGCTCATGAATTATGGAAATGTATTGAAAAATTAATTAATGATCCAGAGAATAAATTGTTAAACCAACCCGGTAGTAAAAGGAAAACTAAAAAAGAAAAGAAATCGAAACCTGTACCATTACCACCAAAATCACAAATATCACACCCGTGTCAATTTCATCATGTTACAAGTGTAACTAGAGAAGATGCTGAGCGTTATTTATTACAAACATTTGTTGCTGATGCCGCTAGTGGGAGCAATAAGCGTAGTCAGTAAAAAAATCTTGTTTTATTTTTGGAAAATGAAAATGTAATATGTATGAAATTTTTATATATTATATACTTACACATACACTATACATAAGATTCTTTGTATGATTAAAATTGCAACGATAAAATTTGTTTAGAATTAAAAAAAAAAACGTACATTAGTTAGAAAAAAAAACAAAACAAAAAAATTAGTCATGTATGAAAATTTTAGTTATTAAATTTAAAAAATATCACAGTTTTTAAGTTTAGTCATTTTAATTTTAATAGAAAAAAATCATTATGTAATATAAAATATAAAAAATGTTAAAGCACCTATAGTCGAAAACAACAAAAATCGAGTTGTAATTATTCAAATAATACTTTATATTATATGCCATTTAGTATAAAACAAATTTATACAGTTATTTGTAATCTAAAAATACCATTTACATTTTTAATTATACGATTCAATCAATTGTTATTTTTATATTTAAAAACCGATTCATAAAATTATGTACACAAGTGTAAGCTGTAAAAAAATTTACAATAATATCGAAAAAAAATAGATGTTTAAAATATCAGAAAATTGTATAAAGTGTAAAAACTATTTTACTTGTAATTATACGTTTACACAAAAAACAAAGCGTATTATGTATATTTTATTTTGTTCTTTATTTTTCTATATACAAATATTTACATAATTTATACACTATACGTATATACTTATATAACATGCAAAAATACTTATATAAAACTGTTAAAACTATTGTCATTTGAAATGACATATGCGTATAAATAAAACAAAACAAAAGTTAATTTTGATAAAATATTTTATTTAATATGCATTTTAAAAATTGCAAAATAAAAAAAACACAAAACTAAATAATCAAAAAGAAATTCACTAAGTGATTAAATTCGAAATGAAAATTTATTTATAAAATGTATCATAATAATTAATTGTTGTATCATACTAAAATAATTAAATCACAATTTTACAATAAATAAAATGAAATGAAACGATAATAGACAATGCAAGATAATAAAATGAAAGATTTTCACCTTAATAATCACCTAAAATTTCAACATAAAAGCTGGACTTATTATTTTTGCGTTAGTGCATAATATTTTTTTTCAAATTAAGTAACAATTATGTTAAAATTTTAAATTCATTTACATAGTTTAAAAAAAAATCTAGATAAGTAAATTTATGGGTGCTGAAATTATAGATTAATTTCTACTGATTGTAGAAAGAATTTTATACATAATGTCTAATTAAAAATAATGAGACGCACATTCAATCAAGAATATTTTAGGCATATATTTGAAAGAATTTAAAATTAAGTTTCAAAACTTTATTATTCATTCAATGATCGAGCCCAAGGCGAATTTTTTTATTTTGAATTATTAAGCTAGCTGATTATACTAATTACAAAAGACTTTATTTCACTAAGTTCTATTGAGTAAAGGTCTGGCATTTCTGAGAAGCATTCAGTTGATTCTATTTTCATTTTAATTTGAAAAACTTGTATATATATGTATAGACAGAGCAATGTGTCTATTAATTTCTTGCACAAAAGGTTTTGAAATCCTTGAAACACAGTTAAAAACTAATTAACACATTGGAGTTTATTCTGAGAAGCACATCATGTGTATTATTCATCAAAAAATAAATTAATATTATTTTCGATATGAAACGAAAATCATATTCTGGATAGCGATATTTTAAAAATCTGAATAGCGAAGTATTGGCATTTTCAATTTAAGTTACGAAGGAGTTTAATGATTTTATTTAAAGTAAAATTTACCCATAATATGTTAAAATGTGTTTTTAAGATATGAAGATGGATCATTAAAACAAATATCTTTTTTGAAATTATAATATTTCGCCTATTTTCAAATTTTTCATCACAAAAAAGTATCAAATCAATATTTTGCAACTATAAAAAATAGCATATCACTCGCAGCTCTGAGTACCAAAATTTTAGTTAGGCGATGACTTACAAGCAAAAATATTAATTGAAAATTCTCTTTCCTCAGAATAATATGAACTATGTATTGAAATTGTTTAAATTTAAATTGAATAAAATAAAATGTTAAGTTTATTTTACACAAAGACACAAACGTTACAATATTGTAATATAATAAGCGTAAAAATGAAAAAAAAAACAAACAAAAGAAATAACACGTAAATAAATAATTTGACTGTGATAAATATAATTATGAGAAATAAAGTATAGAAATGTATGTTATATTTTGAAATTTATGTAAAAATTTCAATTAAAAATTTTTTATTCAATTTTTATTATTAAAATTATAATAAATTGATTAAAAAGAACATGTACGTTTATAGTTTACTAAAACACACACGTCTTTATGTAAAACATATTAAATTTATACAAACCAAAAAAAACTTATTAAAACTGTGCGAATCAAAAACATTTAGTCACACGTAGCAATTCTTTTAAATACATATGTACATCAAAAACTTGTCTAAATATGTAAGAATGTAACCATAAATTTACTATTTACATTAATGTTCCAGTTTCAATGAACTAATTTTCACCACTTTCAGGAAATTTTTTATTAATTTAATTATTTCACCCTCAAGGTATCGAAAATTAAAAAAATACGAGCGTGCATTCATCATATCTACACAAAATAATAAAATTAACACAAAATATAAAATGTTTGTTCCACTACACAAATAAAAATCAAGTCTAATAGTTTTCTCACGTATAAGCATTTGTACATATGTATATGTGCATATGTATATTATATCAGTAACTAGCAATGTAAGAAATCTGACTTAATCCTTTTAGAAAGATATTATGCGCACTTTAAAGTTACTAAATTACGACAACTGAAAGCAACAATGACTAAACCTTTATAAGATTAAGTTGTGAACGAAGTTATTCTTTTGCAGCAATAAAAACTTTTAATATACATATCTGATTAATTTAAATACATATTTAAAAGTCTCTCGACAGATACTCATTTCTAAGCTTCGGATGACTCAAAATTCCAAGATGTGATCCAGCATCTTACAAGAATATTACCGGAAACCATTTATTCGTTGTTAATAATATTGATTTAATAGTACTAGAAATTCTTAATATATTAACAACTTTAGCAAATAATGTTTTTAAAAAGATATAAATTGAAATATAGTCCACCTTTTTGGTTCAAATGAAATGCTTCGTCTGCTAAATGTAATCAGGTAGCATGTTAAGTTATCCATAAAAAAAATATAAAAAAAAATTTTTAACGAAATATTTTTTTTGACACAATTTTATTTTGTAATTCTAAATTAAACATGATTAAAAATTTGGTTTTTTGTTGAAGTTTTAGATTTTATGATATGGAAAATAAAGAGAAAATTGAAAAATCAACAACAAATACCGATGTGTTAAATTTTTTAATTTTTATTTGCGCTAAAGCCAATACATACGCAATATCTTGAAAGGAAACTTATATTTTATAAATCATCGTATGTATAATTATATCGAAATACCTCATCGTATGTATAATTATATATTCATGCAATATAAATATATGGTATGTACTTGGTTATTGCGAATAAATCACTGCTTATCATATTTTTAGTAGTTATGACTGCGTTAATCATCAAAAAGTTTGTGCTATTTCCTCATTTTTATACAACTTATATGAAATAATGTTTAAAAATAGAAAATCATAGCATGGTCAAAAGTCATTTTTGAGGTATGTATGTACCTGCATACAAATCAAATCACTATAAAATTGCGACAAAAACTGTAAACAAATAATTTAAACTACATTTGTGTCTTTAGGCACTTTTCATTTGAACTCTTGCACTATGTTATTAAATGACTAATAAAAAGCTCACTCTACCCAGGTGCATTTTTTCTTCTCCAGAGTTTCAAACAGTAGTAATACCTAAATATTTCTTTATGTTTTAAGCAATCGTTTCACTCCATATACGAGTACATATGTATTTCTAATATCAGGTTCAGTGAAGCTTTATGCAATCTTAATAAATGCGTTAATACTGCAATTATTTAAATTAGTTTTAATATTTATCAGAAAACTCATTGAACAGTTGTACTTTTTAAGTGAAAGATTTTTTACTAATAAATAACAACAACTAATATAGGATAGTGCACAAATAATATGTAATTTTTATGTTGAAAACAGGATTTTAGCATATTTAATATGGCGATTTTTAATTCCTATGTTGAATTTGTTACCCTTCTGAAGCCAAAACACAACATATCTAAGTATCGGAGTATATAATATTTTTTTGTTATTCCAGTTTATATTTACTTATGTATGTACATTTTCTTTCTTTATCAATATTTTTCCACTATCGTCACTTATTTTTGATTGTAAATTTTTCTTGCAAAACTACCACATGTATATGTACATACATACATTGCATTTGGTATCCTAACAATAATAACGCTACAAAATAATAAAGTACATAATTATTTATTTTGAGAAGATAAAGAAAAAATGCGAAAATTTGGGTTAGCCAGATAAGGTCATTGAACTTCTTTAAAATGTATTTTGAATGCTTCAAAAAATTCTTTTTATTTTTAGGTACTTCTTCAAATTACAAACCTGTTGCAATACAGATTGAAGGCACAATAAGAATTTGTGAACACCATTGGATGTTTTTATTTACTCCATTTTTTAATACGTGTCTTCTTGGACACGTCAGAAAGCTTAGAATTAATATGTATGCATGTTGTTTCGAACATTTTGCTAATTTTTACCGATTCGTAAACTTGACTTTAGAAAATTTATTTGACCGTAAATAGATAAATATTCAAAATCCATAATTAAAATTCAAATATATTTATCATTGATTGTTGAACAAAATATAATTTCTTTAAATTTTGCTTTTTTAATAAACTTTAAAAGTTGTAGTTTTATTTTAATGTTTATGAAAAATATTAGAAATTTATTTTTAATTTTGACCCATAAAAATTTGTAAAAATAAACTGCAACACAACGTTGCGATATTTCTGAAACTGAGATTTATAAAATCTAAAAGCTTTTAAAACTTTTATTTTGTCAATAGATTTAAATATAACCAGGAGTTTGCATAAATTTGCAGGCCGAACCCTATTGCGCCAACCATTTCTTATGTTTTTTTTACTCAATTATTTAATAATTTGCATAGTTTCTATTACACTAAAATCAAAACACTAATGCACTATGTTAATAAAAAGGTAAGTACAGGCCTTAATGATTATATTGTGTTAATTTTTAGCTATTGAAAAGCAGACTGAAATTTGAACATTTTAAAAGTAAAGCAACAATCTAATAATACATTACAGAACTTAACTCCGCATACATAAAAACTTAAAATGTGATAACAAAAACTTCTTATGCTTTAAGATCTTTATTTAAAACGCAAGTTTTACTTTGTTTTTTTTCTTAAAATGTTCATATTTGCTTTGAAAAAAGTTGATTTACGATCCTTTAGTTTCTTTAGCATTTTGCAAAGACTGCGTAACAAACAATTTTGCTAGTGAATATAAATTAAATATAACTAATTTAAATATAACCAGGAGTTTGCATAAATTTGCAGGCCGAACCCTATTGCGCCAACCATTTCTTATGTTTTTTTTACTCAATTATTTAATAATTTGCATAGTTTCTATTACACTAAAATCAAAACACTAATGCACTATGTTAATAAAAAGGTAAGTACAGGCCTTAATGATTATATTGTGTTAATTTTTAGCTATTGAAAAGCAGACTGAAATTTGAACATTTTAAAAGTAAAGCAACAATCTAATAATACATTACAGAACTTAACTCCGCATACATAAAAACTTAAAATGTGATAACAAAAACTTCTTATGCTTTAAGATCTTTATTTAAAACGCAAGTTTTACTTTGTTTTTTTTCTTAAAATGTTCATATTTGCTTTGAAAAAAGTTGATTTACGATCCTTTAGTTTCTTTAGCATTTTGCAAAGACTGCGTAACAAACAATTTTGCTAGTGATTGTGAACAAAATTGTGAAATATGCTGCGAATATGTGTTAACTTGTCCCGAAACAATCATAGAATTAAGTCTTGGTGGAACTGCTAGTGGCCTAAATTGTTTTAGTACGTCTTCTTCAGGAATTTGTGTTTCTCCTTTGGACGCACGTGCGGCATTGTCTTGAGTTAATTTAGCCAAAGCTCTATGCTTTTCCTGAGAAAGAATAACAAAATGAGTAAGAAATTCCTACGTAAAAATCTATTTACTTGTTCTTGCTTAACTACAGCTTGTTGATATTTATTAAACTTGCTTGCTTCTTGATATAATTCATCAACACGTTCAATCAGGCATCGGAGATGATTTTCTAATACTCCAGCAGTTCCTAGATCCAAAAACCGATTCCCTTCTTCCTCCGGTACCATTTCACCTAACTCACTCATCATGATGTTAGTTAATGGCGAATTTTTAATAACAATTGGTACTTCAACAAATAAATTTTCATATCCGCATTTCAATTGTCGTAGGGCATCCGGAGTAAAATCACCTTCTTTATACATTGCAATAGCTTGTGGTGTTAAACGATAAGCTTTCAATGTCAAAAATCCTCTGGCAGATTTTTGAGTGTCATATATAACAACAACAGATTCTTCAATACTAGTTTGGTAATGATATTGAGACTCTAATAGAGGGAATGATAAAAAATTTCCAACATCAGCACTTTGATACCATCCAACATGGAAATGGTCAACGTTAACGCGTCTTAAACGTCTCATCATGGCTAACTGATATTCTTCTTCATCCATAGTCTCATCACCACTTTTTGGAAACGGAAAACAGTTCGTAATTTCCAGACGCTTATCAACTACTAATCCTAAAAGAGCACCCTGGGCCAAATCCATGTTGCTTGTTGATTCCTCATGGCAATGTTTCACCATTTTCATTACCGCCTGCAAATAATTTACATATATTTAATAAAATTATTTGTAAGTATGCACATATCTGATTTTATACATATATATAAAAAATGCAATACAATATCAAAAAGCAGACGAAAAATTTCTTTTAATTTTATATTTTGACTTGCAGCAGTCTCATATTAACTCCTGAAACATGTAGATCGTGCATTTTCATCGTGTCATTTAACCAAAAATTGTTTTTTTTTTTGGGTAAAAATGCAGAACGTTTTTGTTTGTACAATGGGTCAAATAGTTGAAAATTAAAATAACTTACCAACCCATCACATTGAACATAACTAATTGTATTGTCAACAGGCTCTTCTTTTTGATTTTGATTACGATTACGATTACCACTACGATTAGCCATGTTTATTGCTGGTTAGTAAAGGGAATATGTACTTGGAGAATAAAACGAGAAAACTAATAAATTTGACACGATTTTATGTTATATCGTTATCAGTGCTGTCGTTTGGGCTCCGAATGGAGCTTTTGGCTCCCTTTTGTTTACGTGTGCTCCACTGTTAAATATGGATACAAAAAACTACATTTTAATAATAAATGCCTACACATAAGCGTATTTTTAATTCATATGCATAACTTTGTGTGAAACTTTTTTTTGTTTTTAGTATGTATCTTATATTTAAATATGATTTAGTATAGTTTGTGTGATATGCAGTAAAAACCTTGTAATCTAGTACATTCAAATTATAGAATGCTAAAGAAGATTAACCTTGAATGATATCATAATTGAAAAGTTTGTATGATATAATTATAAAAAAAAGTCCAACATCATGCAAAAACCTATTTAACATGTTTCAAATCAAAGTTTTCTCTTCTGTATCAAATTTCCTGTATTTTGCGACAATTTTTCAGGTTTCTGAACAAAGAAAAAAATTTTGACTCGCAAAAATCATGTTTTTCTACAAGATTCTTGTTCACAGTGGAATGCCTACTTTGAAAAAAACATCAACTAGAAAATTTTTGCACCTTTACATCCATATTCACTTTCTAATTCACTTTTACCTTTATAATATCTTAAAAACTAACGAAAGCCATGTATGTTGCGTCTTTTAAATATCGGTATCAGATTATTAATAAGCACAGAGAGTGTTTTACTTATATTAGAATGTCGGGCTCCATTTTATCACAAAAGCTTAATATTTTTGCAAATTCGACTACTTTGTGCAATTATAAAACGGCCTGATCGTTATATTTCAAATGTCAGTAGCAGTCACTTTTTGTGCTCCATCTTGCATTGTTGTTAATGAGTGTTACCATATCATCATAAGTTAATCGATCTTGTATGAAGCCCGAATTTGGACTTTAGTGTTATATTGTTTTGGCACTAAATGTAAATACTCCATATTCTTGACAATACTATGTGAGCGTTACACATCAACTAATGTTCCTGTATAGTATGTTTTGTTTTTGTATAGTATGTTAGTGAATCTGTGAACAGTAAAGGAGTCTGTGGGTTGGAAAAATGAAATGTCGTCCAATGCTCACAAAATTGTCATGAGATTAATATTTTCGAAACCAAAATTTTTCTGTATTAAACTGAATTTACCTATTTTCAATACTGCATGGTAATTTCGTTTCTTTTCGTAGTTTTCGTTTTTAATGTCTTTTTTGTATCATGATATAAAATATTATACATATATGTGTCTAAATTATTTAATCTTAATTATTTGGCAACAGTATTTGATGTTTAAACAAAATTTAGGTAACCCTTAAAAAAAATCAAAACAATGCTTGATATTTAAATGCTGTATGTTATTGAGGGTTTATATATGGTAAATAATTAAGAAGAAAGTTTGCGTACCACAAATTATTGTAGAATACATATTAATGACATAAGGCCATTTCTTAAAAATGTCAAATTGCTTGATCAAATTGTTGATAGTAAAATTTTTGCCAGTTGAAGAAACAATAAGCCTTAATCTATTCTTTTACGAGACTTAATTAAATTTAAATTGAATATTTATTATTTAAAACATAATAATTTTTGTCTCGTGAACTTTTTTTTCTTCTAAAAATTGTTTAATTCTTTGACAAGTTTTATTAACTACTGTACATGTAAAGTTTGACGTTGCCAAAATACAACTCAGTTATGTTTTAATCAAGTAAGATATTTTAAAATAGCGTCGATGTATTAAAGAAATAAATATTGTAAAATCGTTGGGCGCACATCTGAGCAACTCAACTATTATTTCAATTCAAATCGATTTAGTTTACTAAAAATTGCAATCAGTTTGTAAAATCTTATAAATTATTTGAATGCTTAAATGCATGCAATCATAGAGTTGCGCACTTGAATATAAACCTATGAATACAAATAAAAAGTTAAAAATTGCATATCTGCCTGGCTCTAAAATAATTTTTTATGTCGGATGGATTTTTGCTAAAAACTTCACTACGTACATAAAAGGTTGGTTATAGTCAATACAATAAGTTTTTTTTAAATGTTTAATACTAACGTCAAATTATGCTCTAAATTCCTGGTTTGAAATGACTTCAAACAAATTAATGACAACTGATAGTAACTCCTTCTATTTATTTATGTTCAATATTCATGGTTCAGGCCTTCAGGGAGATATAGAAATGCAATCAAAGTGGGATATTCACGAAAAATTGTATATTTATGTAGATAAACGAGATATAAAGATGGTTTCTAAGCTATTGGATGATGGTGCAAATGCAACAAAATGCACGTCTTATGGAAGATCTGCAATTGGACAAGCTACCTTCAAGGGGTACTCTGAAATTTTATCGATTCTCTTAAAATCTTGTGAGGAAGAATATGTATCACTTAACGGATGTAAGCACAAATCTTTATACCTATGAAATTTAATTTTTAATTTTTAGAAATTTAGAATAATCACATTGGACTTAATGAGAGTTTACATTAATGTTTTGTTTTTAACATACATATTTGTATTATTTCTTGTTATGAATGTAACAACCTTATGAAAAAGTTATAATGAAATTGTGAAAATTTATTTACATTATTATTTTAGTTTTTAAAGCTAGAAAACCAACAAAAATTTTGATTAAAAGTGTAGATTTCAATATTAAATATTTAAAAATAATTTTAAATATTTTTAGGTTCGCCAAAAAAACCTAGAACTGCAAACCTAGAATTTGATATAGAGCGGACTCCCGACGGTATGGATGGTTTACAATGGGACGATGAAATGCAAGGAGTATCAAATTATGCAACGGCGGATGATGAATGGTCAAGACTTTACATGTACTACGCTAGAATGTTTGAGCAAACTGGGGAATTATTAGCTAATACAGTTAAACTAAAAGATCCTCATTGTTTGGATGCTTATCATCAAGCCCCCATTCATTATGCTGCTGTGTTAGATCACGTTGAATGTCTAAACATATTGTTAGAAAATGGGTCACCTGTTGATATTACTACACAAAATGGAGTCACACCTTTACATTTAGCTGTTAAAAATAATAATATTGTTGAAATATTGTTACAACATAAGGCAGATCCAAACAGAAAAATATATAATACAGGAGAGACAGTCCTCCATGTAGCCGCTAAAATGGGGAATGTGAAAGTTGTGAGTAACTCTTAATAATACATTAAAAATATGGTAGAACTAGGTATGCGATAGAAGTCTTAATTTTGAAAATTCAAAATCTCGAAAAGAGAAATTCAATAGAGCAAGGAGCTCTGGGAAATTTTCAAGAAACTTACTTTTGTTCAAGAAACTGATTTCTCGCTTAACAAAAATTAAAAATTATGCGCTTACAGAACAAAAAAGAGTTTACCGCCGATGCCAAAATGCTTATCCGTTAAACTCACACTAGTGTAACTGAAAACCTTTTAAAACGTTAATACCAATAAAAATTATTTTCTCCTATCTCTTATAGATCACTTTGTGTTGTGGAACTTTTGACTATCTTAACTTTATCGCGTTTTTAATTAATGGTTTTGTTAACTTTTTTTTTACAGAATTAAATCTATTTGCAGATTCTCTTTTAAAACGGAATTTATAGCCAAAAATACTTCAAAACACAAATATGGCCATTTTTACATAAAATGAACATACTTTAAATTTTAAACATAAGCAATAGCAATATATTATGTATGTACATATATATGAAATGCTTTACAAAAATCCAGTTTATCTGTTAAACTTATATAATAGATTTGGGTGAACTCTGTTATACCTGTACGAATTTGTTATCCTATGTGCTATTAATAAGTATGCCATAGCTGACCATAGGACAGACTATGGCTTTAAGTTGGCGTGTTACCATATTAATTTATGCAAAATTTCAGTACTGTGTTTTCAATATTTTCTAAGATATGGTGCGTTTCTAAGATATAATCAAATAAATTTTAAAGTTGTATGGCAGCTACTTGGACCAGTACCCCGATCATATCCAATTTAAATAGGGAAATGGCTATTACTATAATAAATCAATTGTGAAAATTTGGTGAACTTAGCTCAATTAGTTTTTGAGTTATCATAGGAACGGACGTGCAGACAAAGCTAAATCGATTCAGAATTTGAAACTGACCAAAAACATACACTTGAGTCTATATCTCAGACCATTATTTCTTAGAGTTACAAACGGTAAGGCAAATTTAGTATACCCCTCGAACATACGTTCGTACGGATATAAACATGCGGAAGATACAAAGTCCACATAACGGTTACTGTATCATGCATGGTTCCGAATTATAAACATTTATTTATTTGCAGAAAAAATCTTGTACCTTGTTTTTACCAGACTGTAGCTCCAAAACTAGTTTATCTGCACATCTGACCCCACCCATACAGTTTTTGGCTGGGAATCGATCAAAGAATCATCCCTGAAATTATTTCCCACCTTATACGACACACTCTGTATACTCATATTTGTTAAATTACTTTAGTTAGGTACAATTGTGTCCGTACAATGCTATATAAGCGTAATTATGCCTGTTTTGTGTTGATTCAAACAACACTTATGTGTTAACAAAATAATTGGAAACGTTTAATTTTTTTTTTCATTTTTCGTTTAATCAAAAAGAATTATTTAAACAAAAGTTTGATATGTACATTTGTACATAAGTAGTTTTACTTCATAATTTTTTTTATTTATTTCAGTTTCTTATATACAATACCTGTGTACAGAAATTTTTATAACTTAAATTATAATGATAACAATAGCTTTTTATTTATTTGATTACATAATGTGATTTATGTTTATTTTTTTTTTTTCTTAAATTATAGATTTAATGTTTCTTTAAAATCAATCTTTTGTTTCTAATATTTTTTATTTTAATACATTCAAAAGTTGTTGTTTAATTTTTATTTATTTGAGATATTTATTTTTAGATTTTGCTGTAATTATATAATATATGTTTAGGCAGTTAATTATAATAAGTAAAAAAAACATTCATATGCATTTATGTACATACATATGTATATGAATACAGGATCAAGTAATGCCTCTATTCAACAAATTTATGGCGAAGTGGAAAAATGCTATAATAAGGTACATACATAATATGTATGTACATACATACGTATTTATGCATGTGCAAGCATATTAAGGATCTAAATACTAAAAAATTTTTGATCGTGATTTTATTTTATAAGAAATGAATAATATATAATTTGAAAAGAATTTTTACTTTAAGCTTAAAAATGTTTTATACGCAATGTAATAATTCTTTTATTTTTTACTTATGTATATACATATATGTGCATAATTTGTATAATATTTTTTGTAGTGATAATTGCATGATTCGACTTACTGCCATATTAAGCATACAGTTTATTAAACAGATTTAAATTCAATTACTTTTTTATTGAAATTAAAGTTTTTGTTTATGTTTTAATTTCATTATGTATTTACTTATTACTTATTAAAAATTTCATATCCTTACGTATATTACATGTTATATATTTTATAAATTTATTTTATTGATTTAACATTTGCACATGCATTTTGAATACCTTTTGAATTCACTAAAGAATGCATTTAAAACTGAACTCAAAATAATTTTCGTAATAAAATCTTAATTGCGTCATACAATAAGGAACAAAAAAAAACAAAAGTGTTTAAAAGCATCGAATTTTCAATTTGCCAAAAAAAGACAAATTATATATATTTTAAAGAAAAGAATCTCTTCGATATTTGTTCAAGTTTTATATACATACACGCCTGAGTAATAAAAAAGCATTTTCATAAAACCTAAAAAACAAAATTATAATTAAAAATTTACTTATAAATATCATACACTAAGCAAGTATGTTTCATTCTAAATATAAGTATGCATGTTCTTCAAAAATTTTTCTTCTAATTTTAATATAATTCAAATAAAAACTAAAGGAAAACACAAGGGAAAAAACAAACGAAAATGTAACAATTAGAAATTCTTGAATATAAGTGCATGTTGCTTTGCTTAACAAAAAATGTTAACGTGTAAATATAAAATTTGAATAAACCAAAGAAATGAGTTAAACAAAATAGACAATATACTTAAAATCACATATGAACTACATACAAATCTAGCCTAAGCATAAATTTAAAAAGTAATTATACTTGTTTATAAATCGAGTATTTAGGTAACTGTATTATTGGTTAACTGTAGGTACAAAAAGGCACATAAACCTTTTCAAGTTTGGAGTCCAAATGTTAAGTCATGCATTTATAATGATTAAACATTAGTATATATCAGAAGTTTTTAAATCAATAAATTAAATTGCTGTGAATAAAATAAAAAAGCCCGTTAAATTAAAAAATTCCTGTTATTTCTTTATCAACTTCCTATTTATTGACATAAAAATTAATGTAATTATAATACATATGAACATATGAATGTGTAACTACACATTCATGCATACATATTATAGCGTTTATGTAAATTAACATGTATACAAATATAGTAATATTATATTTTTTATTTTCAAGACTTAATTTGCCATATGCAATAAAGTTTTTTAACAAAACTATGATCGAAAAAACAGTATTTGTTTTTTCTCTATTGTGTTATTAAATTTTCTTAAAAATTATACCTTCATATATACATATATTGTTATTACAATTCAATTAAAGAAAATAACAATTTTTACTATAATTTGATATGACTATTGTGCTTTCTTTTTATACGTTTTAAATTTATTACTTTTATTGCTATTTTTCACGTTAAAGTAATATGTTAAAATTCCATAATATAATTTTATCAAGTCGATATTGTATAGTGTACATATTGTATAGTATACCTGTATTCTCTCTCTCTCTGCAAACTTACATTAGCTAAAAAAATGGCTAAAGGAATAAAAAATTATTTAATTTCAATGGATTTTTATTCAAAAAACAAAACCTACAAAAAAAACTATTTTCTTCTATTGTGTTTATTGAAAAACTTAATTTTTTTAGCCTCAAGAATGCGCAAACATTTCTGAAAGAAATGATATATTAATCAAACTATGATAAAATTTTTATTAAAAAATTTAATTATGAGCTATGGTGTAAGAAATGTATGATACATTTTCATTTCAAAATATAGAACAGCATAAATAGATGTTGTTTGTTACTCTATTCAAAATATTCAATTGATTATGAAAAGAACATTAATTTTTTTCTATTTTCACTCAGTCAAAGTGACATCATTTGAATATATGTACGAACTAGAAAAATTAAAAAAAAGCTATGTTAAAACAAGTTAGTTTTCAATAGTATTTACTAAGTAGGTTCTTTACAGAAAATGATATCATTTAAACACATGAAAGTTATTAAATCATAAGAAACATTAAGCGTGTATTTTGATTCATTCTTTAAGTCAAACTGAAAGTTGAACGCACCCTTGGTTAAATAATAATATTCAATTCAACTCCGTTAAAACAAATTCTGAAGAAGAAATTGGTTTTTATTATATTTTCCACATTTAAACGTGATTTGAAAGTCAATAATAACTTACAATTATTTGAATTCGTAACAAGAATTTTTTTTTATTTAAAGTTATATATAGTATCACAATTTATGTACATGCATATGTAGTTGTAAGCAAACTTTTTTTTAAAAACCTCTTTATCAAATTTGTATTCTCTTTTTTAAATTTTTTTGAATAAAAATCCATTAATAACAATATATATTAATTTTTTTTCTAAACTACTTTTAATATTTAAATTTTTTTGTTTTTAAATAAATTTATAAAAGGTTTCTATATATAAAATTTATAATATTGGGCAAAAATATAGTAATTTTTTTTCTAAATTTTTTACAGCCGAAAATTGATTATTTTGTTTTCTATTTCAATCTAAAAAATATAAAAATTGTTATTAAATATAAATGAAATAAAAAGTACAATGTGTGTATCAATAGAAGAAAACACTAAAATAAAATCTAGTCCCATTCACCAATATACATATTACGTGGAGTCGGTATATATCCTCTTGTTGGTAATGGCACACGTCCACCATATAAATGAGTATAAGGGGACTCATGAAAATCAGAATCGATTCCACTTTCAAAACTTTTTGTACGCCACATCATTTGTTGTTGATGTTGATGCAATTGATGTTGCTGTTGATGTTGTTGGTACAAATGATAATGACTTGCAGCCATATGATGTGGATGTGAATGTGAATGATGTAATTTTAATGGGTTAAATGATGAACCAGTCGGTATATGACTAACAGATGTTCTTTTTGATATTATATGTTGTTGTTGCTGTAAATGTTGCTGTTTAGCAGATAATAGTGATTGTTGATCTAATAATTTTTCTTTGTCACTAACATTGTTGCTACCGCCACTATTTGATGGATTATTCCGAAATGGTTTCGCCATTTTTACAAAATTTGGAACACGTGCTCTTAAACCACAATAATATGGATCATCATATTTCCTATCTTTTTTGTCTTTATTTTTGTCGTTTTTATCTTTGGCTTTTTTGTCATTACTATTGGGGGGATGGTGATGTATTAATGAGGATGAAGATGATGATGTTGTTGTTGTTGTTGTTGATGAAGGTGTCAATGAAGGCAACGGTATGCCATTATTAACACTTGATACAATTGATGATGGCGACAAATCATCGTAATCTGGTTTTGGTATTTCATGTGGGTATATATTATCACGTGGTGGTAATTTTGGGGGTTTTTCACTACGTTTGCGGGCATCCTGTTGGCTTTGCAATAATAACTGTTCTTTAGCAGCGGCAACATGTCCATTATTACCATTTAAACTAATAAATCTATTATTATTGCTGATATTCAAAGAGTTACTACCATTACCAGCTATACTATATGGATCTTCATCAGGAATAGGTATTTTTGGTCGATTTTTAATATCTAAAAATGGACGTTGCACCGTTGGCAATTTAGTTTTTAACATATCCATGGCAACAACATTTATAACTAATATCCATATTGGGCATTCTAATATTTCATTTTCTGAACGTACAAATGTAACAACTGATAAGCATTGTGTTTCTAAACGTCTACGATCTGGATATGCACGTCTTAATTCACGATTAACATTTGATTGAAATTTTTTCATATCGAATAGTTTAACTATTTTATCAATTTCTAATGCTTGATTTGGTAAACTAACAACATCAGCTCCAATTGATGTTTCTTCATTTGGTCCTAATGCAGTACTTTTGACATAAACATTGCTGCGCGCATAACGTCTAATTAAAATATTACCAGCATCATCCATTTTAATTTTAACACCGCGTTCAATATGACGTTTTAATTCCTCGGTTTTTGAGTCGCGATTTGGATTATCGAAACCGCACAAACCGATACGCATACCATCGAAGCCATCGTCAGACCCGTTAACCGTTAACACAGGAGCACGAACATATGCTTTAGCTAAACGACGATTTTTTTCAAATACAATCACTTTAGCCCATATTTCATCATCAATTTGGGACCATTTCTCAAGCACTTCTTGAATATGCTCTTTGAATAATTTTTCTTTATGATACCACACATCTTCTTCATCTTCTGGTTGTCCAGTAATGCTAACTGGATCTAAATTTAGATCATCTTTAGATCGAGATAAAATTTTACGTCTAGAAACCATATTCGGTAATAATTTTAATACACTAAAAAAGTGGACCTATATGTAAATGCAAAATTTTTTATAAGATTTTAGGTAAACTTTTTGTGTTTTTTCAAATGTTTCAGAAAATATTGACACTATATAGCTGTATGTATATGCGTATGTATATACGTACATATAAATTATGTATTCTTTTTTTTTTTGTTATTTTGTCACAAATAGATTTAATATTTATTCACATTCGTTATAAGTATTCACAAATCTACACATTTACATATATGCTTATTATTTTTTCATTTTTGTATACGTTGAAGGTTTTTTTTTATTACCAACTTTAATTTCGAATATGGTTTGAATACATAAATTTTTACTGGCGTCTTAACCAATTCACTAAAATTATGTGGTATTTCGTATTATCCAATTTTGCTTCTTTTTTATTTTTTTATATTTTTTAACGTGTATTATATAAAAAATAACAGTAATATTTTAATATTTAAACTATTTTTTTGTATATTTTAAAATATATTGGACGTTTTTAAAAATATTTTTATTAAAAATTATATATTTTCTATTTTATGTTATTTTTTTTAAATATTTTGAATAATTTTAAAATTATTAAAAAAAAAAAACAAAAAAAAAATAATTTAAAAATTATAAAAATTTTTCAGCTGTATCCAATGCTATTTGATTTCACTTTTAGTTTCAAAATTATAATGGGGATTGGCAATAACCGTTTCCACTTCCACCACCACCGTTGATACACAAAATGAAATAATAAAAAACGAACAAAAAGCAATCAAAATCCACACAACACCAATAAAAAATGAAAGACTTAAGCGAAAAACAAGTTGCGATTGCTCTGTACTTTCACATAACATATAAAATACGCCACAAACTTAGCACAAGATTACTAAACTCTTAACTAAACCATAAAAAGTTAAACCAGAAAAAAAAAAAACAAAAAACAGTTTTATAACACAACATAATAATAACATTTTTGCTGCTATTCATTTTTGTTAAAGCTCATGCAGGAGCTTATACCTCCATCAATTTAGTTTCAGATTGAATTTATGATTTCGCTTTTCAAATAAATACACTTCAACGTTCGATTTTATTTGAAAAAAATTACAGGTATGCTTCGACATATTATATAATTTCCAGGACCGAAATTCTTAAGAAAGATAATGTCGAAATTCTTAATAAAAGAATAATGTATTTAAATTTTTTTATATATATCGAAATAAAACCTGTATACTATGGATAGTGATTTAATTGGAAACATTATAGTACCATTGAACCATTTTTAAAGGTATTGTTGTTTTCGTTATTGCAATTCGATTTATAATTTAATTGTTTGTCGGTTAGCTTACTAAACATTGGTATACATATACATATTTCTACATATGGGTTTTAAAAAATTATTTAAATTGTGCCTGCAAAAATTTTGAACTTATTCCTTCCTAACTTAATAAATTTGAATGAAATACGTACCTATATGATATAATGAATGTTTAATTTTTATTCGTGCAGTAATTTTTAATTTAACATAGATATAACTTGCACATATCATGACAAACCTTGTGAGTACAAATACATTATGTTTCTGTACTTTGAAAAGAAATAATTTTTTATATACATTCAGAACATACTTTAAAATAATAGATAATTTAGATAAATGTTTAAAATCATTTATATAATATGTATTTGGTAGACATTCAACTTTATCAGAGGCAAGTCGATTTTATATTGTACTCCCAGGAAAGAATATTAAAAAAAAACATAAATACAGTTTTTCTTAACATTTTCGTGGTTTTTTTTCTGCAGTGTAAGAAATACGGGATAGTGGGGTACTATTATTGGATTGTAGTTTAAAATGCCAATACGAAAGAAACTACAGACAATAACGAAACAAAAAATACAATACAATAAAAAAAATCTCAATTACACTACTACTACAAAAAGTTTCAATGACGATTTCAAAATATTCGCACCCGATATACAGAAACAACTTTTTTCTTTTGTAATTTATTTTTGTCTAAAATTTTGAATTCGAAGTTAAATGACTTTAAAAGTAACAAAATATTTCTTTCTTAGTTTCCTTTATTTCAACAAATTTTTTCTTGGTACGGGTGCATTTGCTCGAAAATTTAAAAGTTCTGTTTAATTAAGTGTAAAAATACTTTATAATGTTTTATTAAATTTTTAAATTTTTCAAAGCTTTTCTACCGTATGCATTATTCTTGAGTACCCTGTTGACTGCGTTTTAAATGTAAAACTGTACGTTTCTAATTCATATCCTTTGCAAAATAAAAGTATCCAAAGCTATTCTACTGCGTATTGTTGCAATCAATAACGTGAACATTTTAGAAAACATTTGATATAAAACAAATTGAAGCTTTATAGTGAAAAGTTGGTCAAAACATATAAAAATTCAAAGGAAAGTTAGAAAAGTGCGTTCAATCAATAAATTTTTTTTTATTAAAAGAAATTCTATACTCAGTTTTATCATTTTCGAGCTCTTTAATTAATACACAAAAATTACGTATATGTACATACTTTAATTTCTAGGAAAATTATAAATACTTTATTTTTAATTTTAATTCGACAATCTACCGATTTTCCACTTTCCGTAAACTAATTTCGATAGTTTGTCAAGGAAAATTCCAAACAAACATCTATGCAAAAAATGACTATTCTGTATACTTTTTTGTTTTCTTGAACAACGAGCGAAGTTAAAATATTTAGGTAGAAAAACTTAACAGAAAAAAAGTAACAGAATACAAAAAGAAACAAGAAACGAATACTTTAAGCCAACAGCAACGGCACAGCAAGTAATGCGTTCGTTTAATTAAAGAAAAACTAGTTTAGCATAAATAGTTGTTTCTTGCAATTCAACTTTGAAATAAATGTGTATTTGTAAATCGTATATATGTGTAGGTATATATATATTTTAACTAATTTATGTAGTTAACAATCTTAAATGTACTTTCAGTATGTACATACATTTATACTTGTACGAATATACAAAAATTTTGAAAAAAAAAAATTATGAACACCTATGTATGCATGGAACTAGCCCAAGTACGTTTTTATATTTCTTATTCTCTTTTATAGCTTTTATTTTTCTTTTGAGAGTGAAGTTGATTTCTTTACAAAAAACAAAAGAGAAATAAAAAATAGATTTACTTTAGCTAAATGGTTCTTCACAGGTATATACTTGTTTGAATTTTTTTCATTGTTCAATAAAAAGGAAACCACCTCAACTCGTTTTTATTTCTGCATAATAATAAACATTATTTTATTTCTATATTAAATGCAATTTCCTATGTTAAATACAGAAAAAATTAGGCAAATTATAATTTTATACCTAGCCACATTTTAATATTATTTTTTTTCTTTATTTAAAATGTATACATCGTAACCCTAAAATGTATACGTGCCTCTGACATTTTATTTTTGAAAAACTTCTTAAAAAATTCTAATAACAATTTTCTATAATCCTCTTTTAAACACGTTCTCCACAAGCTGAGAATCTAAAGATTCTTAAATTCTTTATTTTGTCTTTTATCATGGGTTGTAAAATAACATATTACTCAAGGCGGGAGCTTCCATTTAGATATGTATATAGTATTATGTAAGGTGAAAGCATGAAAACGATTTATTGAAATAATTTCTTTATTATCTCATAATTTTTCATAAATTAAGGAAAAATCTTTTTCGAAAAATTATTCTTTAAAAAATGAAGCTGGAATTGCATTTTTATTTTATTGAAACTTTGTTTTGAAAAGTGGTTTCTCATTCAACTGATTATTAAATTGTCTCAAAACGAATTTTGCGAAGAAATTTTTGAAAACCTGTCGTTTTGCGGAGAAAATTGAGTTAACTAATCAGTGCTTCGTTCATTCGAAAAATTATAAAATTTTTTTTCAATTTAATTTTTGTTTAGAATTTTTAAAAATTCTTAGACCTATGTATGTATTCTAATTTCAGTTTCGACAAATCAATGTACGTTTCTGAATAGTTTAATACAAAACCAAGTAATGAATCTAGCTTTGAAACAGATTAGATAAAAAGAAAGTTAAGACAAGTGTATTTGCTAATTATGACCATTACGTGTGAAATATATTACAAATTTCGATGCAATGCTTCAACGGTTATGAAAACTTGAAAAGAAAATTTTATTTTTATCACACATTACTCGTATAATACATATACAAAAATATGAATTATAAATGTGGCGATTTTGCTCTTTTCTATTTAAAAAATAATTTAATACTTTCATTTAAGACTTTTTTCTTTTACATTCAATAAATTACTTTAATTATTTAAAATTTTGAAAAATTATTTTATATGTACATATATCAATTCATTTCGAGTTAATGTTACGAATTATGATAATCATTTGTTTAATTTTTTTAAACAAATGATTATAAATTAAAACATTCTAAAGCAAAAAAAGCTTTTTCGTTTCAAAACAGAAATAATGCAATAATGTAAAATAAAATTACTCACACAATAAATACATTCGTTTACACATTTATCTCATCAAGTATATCAAAAAAGTTTGAGATCAGCAACTCCTTTAAGAAATTTATTAAAACCCCTAAGTACATAATTTAAATAAGGATTATAAGTTCATAACTTGGCAAACTTACGAAAACAAAAATTTCTCCAGTTTCATGTTACGTCATTAGAAATATAGACACTTCGTTTCACTAACAAGTTTAAAATGTTCCGTAACATAAGAGCAGATATCAGACTATTTTATCTTTTAAAGTTGAAATTATTAATATTTTAAACCTACCGAGCCCTTTTTCAAAATGCTAAATGCAATGAATTTCTAAGTTTTTCCAGTATCAAAAGCAGGAAGCAAAGCTTAACACTCTAAATTTGAGATAGATACATAATGTGCTATAAATACTTACACATTTCGTTCTACATTTGAATTGCACAAGTACTGCAAAAGAAAAGAAGAAAAACAGGCGAGTAAAATAAAAAAAAGACAAAAAACATTCCGAGTGTGCTGCAATGAACAGAAAAAAAAAATATATTGCATAATTTTTTTTTTATTCGTTTCACAGTTATGGCATAATGGCTTATGAATGATATCGTAAAAAATTTTTTTTTGTGAATTCACAAATTTTTATTGGTTTAATTTGGTTGACTTAAAAAAAATTAGGTTTGAAATAAATCAAGACAATGTTTGCAGAAAATTAGTGTTAAGTTAAACTAAAGAAAAAGTATTGTACTAACTAACTAAAAATGCACGCTACAAAAACATAAGGTTGAATATTTCTTTAACGTTTCCTAGTTAGTTATTTACACTTCTAAAATTTGTTTTATAAAAACTGTTTTCATTTTATTTGGAGTACAATTAAATTTTTCGAACAAGATGTACAGTTTGTCCCTGCAAGAGACCGATAAACTTTTTTTGTGTACAAAGCTCTACTTTGTAATTAAATTATAAGTACTCGTAAAGGGCAAACATTTTGAAAATTAACTTTATTAAAAATTTTATTTGTTGGAGAAAAATTCTGTTTCGTTCGAAGTAAAACATTTTAGTCTTCACGATGGGCAGGATTAGATGGGCTGTTTTCTCCTTTAGGCCCTTTAAATCTCCAATTCTAAGAATAACCATGTTGGATGCCTGTCTGTCGCGGTACAACTTCGACCGTAAGTATAGGGTTCTGTTTTCCGATCGATGAACGTGGGATCGGGGTGGCCCGGTACTTGATAATTAATACCATTCTTCTACCGTGTGGTGTGCAGAAGGTTCCAAAACGGAGTCGGGTGTGGGTTCGGGTGTATATGGTGTCCGCCCAGACACGCGTATGTGGTCTGCCTTCTTCCGCCGTGAAGACCAGCGGCGAAATACGGCCTTCACTGGCGGGGCGCGAAAGGGTGCCGTCATGCGAAGGTGTTTCTTTCGGCGTGCTCCAGCGGATTCACAGCAGAGTTGCTGGGAATCAATAGGAGCCGGGTTCGCGCTATTGCGAATTTCTTCGTGGGGCACTGCCCAGTTAAGTACCACCTGCATAGACTGGGGAAGTCGGGCTCCCCCTGTGCAAATCTTGTGGCGGTGACGAGACCGCCGTGCACACCCTTCGCGATTGTCCGGCACTGGCTGTCCGGCGCCGGCATTGTCTTGGACATGGGTTCCTAAGTGTTCGGGAACTTCTGTCCAATTCCCTTGAACTCAAAAATCTAATCTAAATCTAATCTAAAACATTTTATAGGGGCTGAAACCTAATACGTCTTTTACGATATATGCATATTGCCGGAATTTATTTTCCATAATAAATTTCCTTCGTTTATTCAGAAAACTGAAATATGAATTGTAATTTTACTAAATATATGAGCTACAAAGATTTCAAATTAATATTTATAAATATAAAATTATGAGAGTAATAAGTAACAAGTGACTTAAATAGTTAAATTAAAGTGAATTCAATAGAAAAATTGGCTGAAAGAGAATAAAGTTAAATTTATGACTCATGATCTGGAATTTTTTTATTTCTTGCTAAGTATGTGTAAGTATTTTAAAAGTTTTTGGTCTTAATCACGTTACGGGAATCAAGTAAGACCGCATATAACAACAAATATTGCTAAATTTAAGAAAAAATTGGATTCAAATTAAACCTAGCAACACAAAAAATATTGGTTTTAACCAAAAATACCAGATAAACTACTTAAACTACACACACGCGCACTTTTTTATGTTATTAAAATAATGTTTATGTATTTATCTTTGAATTTTTATTATATTTTATAATTTCAGAAAAAAAAAATTTAAAACCAGACGAAAAATAAAAAACCAAATTTCTCAAGGTTCTCAATATTTTAACTTTTATTTTAATCATGAATAACAAAATATTGTACCAATATATTTATAAGACAGAGATGCTTACTTACCTAACAATTGCCAATTAAAAATAATGTTATGTTTGTTATATAATTTTTGGTATAATTATGTACATATGTATGTATGTATAGTTGCAGAACATGTTATTAAAATACCGTCATATAAAAGGTTTTATAAAACTGTAAAAATATTGTATTTAAATGGAAAAAATTAACGGTGTTGGGTCCATTCTTGACTTGCATCCAGTAAAACTTTCAATGGGCTTATTAATTCATTAAAGATGTATTTTAAAGGAAAATACAATCATCATGAATTTGTAGAAACTACCGATGAGGTTGTCTCGTAAAGAAGTTGTATACCTCACGGTTTCACCTTTATAAAAATTTCAATTGTAATGAAAAGGAAAAGTGAAATACAGTTCTACAAAGCTAGATATAAATGTCATTGGAATTTTAACTTGTTTTAGATGTTAACTAATGAAAATATTGTCTAACCACTGTCCATGACTGCCATATTTGAATTCTTCGTATCGTATATAAATCTGTGATTTGCCTAAATTGTTTTAGTTTCGCCTAATATCATAGCATTTTAAAACCAAGTTAATTTGAGCTATAATTTTTTATATAGGACTTAGAAAAACCAGATTTATAATAATTACTTAATAAAATAAAATCTTAAAAAAATACTTTTGTTTTTAAAATATCAATAGAAGAAAAATAATTTATTTGAAAAATTTTTTATTTAGGTTGAAATTCTTTTGCAAGCTGGTTCTGAAATAAATACAACAAATAACAAAGGTCAAACACCATTAATGACGGCGATATCTAATGGAAATGAAGAAGTAGCATTTTACTTATTAACTAAAGAAGCTAAAATTAATTTACAAGATGATCAAGGTTTTACTGCAATATATTATGCAGCTGTAATGAATAACGTTCGATTAACATCACATCTTTTACAAAATGGTGCACGCCCTTTCGTTACCCATTACTTATTGCATATATGTGTGCAAAATAATTTCTTAGAAATAGCGCGTTTACTAATTGAAGCGGGTGAAAATGTAAATATACGTTTTTCTGGTTATACCCCTTTATATTTAGCTATAAAACAATGTAATGCAGATATGGTTGACTATTTATTGAAAAATGGCGCACAAAAATTTAATCGTTCTGTAACAAAGGAATTTCATGTTGCTGTACAAAACGCTGAATCACTTAACGACTTTATCAAAGTCGCAAGAGTTCTTTTAGATCACGGAGTTTGTATGGATGATGAAAATTACTGGGGAGAAACACCGTTAATGACAGCAATTATGTTGGAACAATTTGAAATAGCTGCATTTCTAATAAAAGAAGGTGCTGATATTAATAAAATAAGAAATGAAAATTATGCAGACAACTTTTTATTTGAGAAATCGCATCCGAATTGGAATCTATTGAAATTGTTGGGTAAATTTTACAAAAAAAACATATTGAATTACATATTTACATTAATGCACTTTCTCAATGTGCCAAAATTTTCTAAATGATTTTAAATGTACTACTTTTAAATGCTATATTTCGCATTATGATATATTTATATTTCTATATATTTCCATATAAGTGTACTTATATAACAATGGGTTTCATATATTTATAATATGAATATCTTCAGAATCTACATTTTAGTCTTTATAATAGTTATCTTTTTTATATACAGTTTTTAACATATTATAAAGTTTATGACTGTAATCTTTATTCAATTTTTATTGTAGTGACCAGCCATAATATTTTTTAAAATTTCTGTTGATGCTCATTGTTAAAAAATTATATATGCATGTATGTATGATGTATGCATAATAATATTCTTGTAAACTATTTCTACGAAACTATTTATAATGGGACTGAGGAAATAACTGGAAAATTTGTCTTGTTCAATTTTTTCTATTTCGAAAAGTAAGGCAAGAAATTGCAACTATTGTATGTAATTGATAGATATGAGAATACATATGTAAATATTTACTTGTTATAATATAAATATTTATTGAATTTCGAAAAGTCTAGTTTTAAAATAGTAAATATTTTTATTTTTAAACACTTATCTTTCTTTTTAATTTTAGTAAATGCTGGTTTAAAGATTCATCCGAAACCAACAAATTTAAAAAAGGCACCTTGGGAGAATGTTGAAGGAGATTTCGACGACTGGCTTGGATACTATTGCCATAATCCATTGTCTTTGCAAAGTTTAAGTAGGATAAAAGTTCGTAACTTACTGCTAATAAATATAAAAGCTGATAAGGCAGAAGCGTCAGGTTGCGATGAGTCAAAGTTATTCAAATTAATTAAACAATTGAGCATTCCAAAACCACTTCAAACTTATTTATATGAATTTGATGATATACCAAAGATCACAAACAAACTTTAATTTAATAATTTCATAATTTTTAAAGTGAATGAAATTCATAAAAACTAGAAATAAGACTTAGGATTGATTCATAAATCCTAAAGTAAATTTAGGTTTTTTAATATTATTAATTAAGATTTTGGTATTAATTATCAAAACTTATACTTATATTTTCATAATTTTATAATTATGTTACTTTCTGTCGTTATGTTGAAAAATGTATATTTAAAATAGTATTAAGATATATTAAAATATAATTAAGATAAAAAAAGTGCATAAAGTCACTTAAGGATTTAATTTTAAATACAAATAGAAAATAAATTTATTTAAAAAAAGACTAATATATTATGTTGATAACCTTTCAAATCTCCCATTTTATTCAATGCACAGGCAAGGGCAGTAATGCGAAACTACAGAACTCCGAAAATTTAATTTACTGTTATTAAGACATGAAATTTGAAAAGTTTAAGAATTTTTCGAAAGAGCTTCCCCCAGTTCTTTGTTTTTATATATGTACATATTTTATATAAAAATGTTATAAAACATTTGAATGTCTTACATGATTTGAACTACAATTATAGTTGTAGAATTTAAACGTTGAAAATTTTTCTTTATTCAAAATCTCATAGTAAATAAAATATGTAATTTATTGGTGTAAAATTCAAATTAAATTTAAATTTATAAAAATATTTAATTAAACGTTTTTAATTTAGAAATATTAATACAAGTATATTATAACAGATTACTTTTTCAATTTTTCTTCTTTTACAGCTTTTTCCTTATCTTCTTTTTTCGATGAATCCTTTTCATCTTTCTCCTTTTTCTCCTTTTCCTTTTCTTTTTTTTCCCGATCGTCTTTTTTTCCCTCTTCAGCATCCCGATTTGTTATCTTATTATTAATTAAATTGTGTAATGCTATTATAGATCGAACCATGGACGCCAAATAGACGACTAGCATTTGATCATTAGTTTTAATATACATAGTCTCTGTAAACTGGTCAGAAGTTATATTTGGTAATAAATTGAATATATCCTGAAGTTGGTAAACAATTTGATGATTTAATGGCAATTCTCCCATACTAACTTTTTCCAAATAGAATTTAATTTCTTTTAGTTGTGCATTTAATCCTTTCAGTCCATTCAGTTGATTAGTAATTTTTTGTGATAAACTTCCAATAGTCGTATCTTTGATGTCTCGAAGCAAATGTTCCACACCCACTTCTTCAGCTTCCTCTGCACCAATTTCACTTGGAACATGCTCAAATGTTTTTGATGTCGGTGTACCGTCATCGTGAATTTCTTCAACCGATATATAAGCTTCCGTTGGAAGACCAAGATCTTTAGGCTTTGCATCTATAATAACTAAAACTGAATTTGGACAATATCGTCTGATCAGTTCATTAATAGCTATATCGTTTTGATGCAATTTTGGACCGGTGTGGTACCACCCGACAACTCTTTCCCTAGCATTTACCTTTTTAAACATTGCATACATATTTTCCAAATAATCATGATCCAAAAACCAGACAGATTTGTCTTTTTCGTCTTCATCAAATGGCACTGCAAAACTATTTGATACATCTAAAATGCCTTTCGAACGCCAGCAACCAAGCAAAACACCAACAACACGCTTTTGGTTCCCTATCTTCCCCATACGATTGAAGTGATCAACGACACTCAAAAGCACCAAAGGATGCACAATTATCTTGTTAACCGCAACTTCACTGGTCGGCATATTTTAATTTTTATTCAATTTTTTTTTATTTTCAACAAAAAACTGCTCAGCAATGACAAGTTCTCATAAATTTGCAAGCAATGAAATTTGAAGTTTAATGAGGTTACCATATGTCTAATTCTACCCTAAACATTTTGGTAGAGTTTTCAATGAAATATTTTAACATTTTTTTTAATTACTTATCTTTACCCAGCATTTACACGTACAAGTTACTTGCAAGAAATTTGCAATACATACAAAAATTTTACTAACACATTGAAATATTTCTACTTGCTTGTTTACTTGCAGTTCAACTTGCAAGAAAATTTTGCTGCTAGTAATTTGAGCAAGTAATTTGACATATTGAGAAATTCACAAAAAAAAATTTGTTGTTTTGATTTTTTTTTTTTTTAATTTAAAATTTTTGAATTTTGTTTTGAAAAAATTAAACTTAGCAAACTTATGGTTTCTAAAATTTATAAACAATTATATATATTGCTAGTTGTTTTCTTCTCAAAGACATTTTCAAAAATTAACTTGCTAAACGCCTACGTCATAATAGCAAGTAATTTGACATTTCGAAAAACTAATTGACAATTAATATTATACAAACTTGCATGCAAGTAACTTGTATGTGTAAATGCTGGGTTACGAGAGAGAAAATTGAATCAAGTTAAATTCAAGTGCTGAGCTTTTTCTTTGAAGCACCAGCTAGGAATAGTTCTTGTCAAACAACTGTCAAATAAAATGTAAAGCTCAGGTTAAAAGCAACGAACCAATGCTTCGACATTTTGCCAAAACCAGTACTTTTTAGTCTTTTTCATTATTAAAAAAATTAAATAAAATTTAAAAATAAAACTATCTAAAAAGCTCCCTTTTTACACTTCTTGAATTTCTTTGATTGGACAGTTCAAATTATTGAAGTGAGCTGCAGTTATCACTCAAAATATAGAAATATCACTTAGAGCCTTAAAACCTGGCCCGGCTTTCTTAAATTACTTTTTGCAGCCGCATTGTAAATGTGTGAAAAATTCTAAAGACTTAAAAATTTAAATTCAAGAAATCTCCTAATAGTTTACATTGACAGAAAAAGCGGCAATAAGTTAATTTAAAACAATTTAAAAAAATATATTTTTATATATCATATTTTTTACTGTTCTTTTGAAATTATAATACGATTACCGTTTTTCTCGCTGTTTTTTTTTCATTTCAATTGTCATTGCATGATTCTGCGACAAATATTCAATTTTCCGAAAATCTGTCGTATGTAGCAGCAGTGTAACTTACCCTATTTAAATCAATGGATTGAATAATATTTTAACAGATCGTGCGACGGTCGCTGTTGCAGTAATATGAACTGTAATACAGTACATATTATTTCTCCATCAAAATTCGCCTAAAGAGACATTTCATTTTGACGCATATTTTGACATTTCGTGATTGTTTTGCTTTTTTTTCATGTAGGAAAAGATGGGTAAAGTTCTGCAAGCATGTTTAAGTTCAATTTCAATATAGATGGTCCAGAAAGTGATTCTAATTTAGAATATGATAGCACACAGTAAGAATACTTGAATTTAAATTGAATATTTACTTATTGGCGATTGATTTTTAACAAATCAACTTTTAGAGAGCTGCAAAAGAAAAATCGGTTGTATTGGTATGATGTAGACGAAATCTTCTTGGATAAAAGTAAACACTCAAATATTAGTTTGTACAAGCAGAATTCAAAATGTTTTTCATTTTTGGACCAACAACTGTTTGTTGTTTCATATGAAAAGCAAATTAAATTGCAACAAACTATAAAAAATAGCATCAAAAATGCAGATTTAAATCACAGTGATTTAGTTACTGCAGTCTATGAAGGCGGTGCTAAAATTTGGGAATGCACTGAGGATTTATTAATATATATGCTTCAAAATAAGATAACTGAGAATATTAGCGGAAAATTAGTTTTGGATCTAGGTTGCGGAACAGGCCTCTTGGGTATTTTTGCAGCTTTTAATAACGCCATTGTGCATTTTCAAGACTATGTAAGTATATTTATGTTTATTAAATAATTTTTAGACGGTTTCACTTATGAATACTTTAGAATAAAGATGTTTTAGAATTAGTAACGATACCAAATGTTTTGATTAATTTGCCGTTCAATTCGTGGTTGGAGTCGTCACAAATGAAATTTTTTTCTGGAGACTGGTCGAAATATGTAGAAGCAACAAAAAATTCACCAAGATTTGACTTAATCTTGAGTTCGGAGACTATTTACAATCCAGACAATCATGCGAAACTTCTAAATACTTTTGCAGAAAAATTAAAATCAACTGGTTTAATATACCTTGCAGCTAAAACGCATTATTTTGGGGTTGGAGGAGGCCTCAGGCAATTTGAAGATTTAATAGTGAGAGATAACCGGTTTAAAAGTAAAATTGTGTGGAAATCAACTATAGGAGTTTGCAGAGAAATTTTAGAAATAAAATTTAAAAGCTGATTTTGTCACATTCGCTATATACTCAATAAAATATTTAATTGGTACATAATATGACAATTTTTTAATAATTTGGTTAGGATCAAGCTTAGTTACCAAGCGTAATTATAATTTTTGCGCAAATGATGAAGCAGTTTCTAATGATAGATCACTCAAAATCCTAATCGCAATCTACATGAGCAATGCCATAAATTTTTAAAAGTGACGTGTTGAGGTAAATATTAGATATTCAACGGAGCTTGTTGCTTGCGAGCATATAAACGTTTTCTATGCTCTTAACTTACATATTCCATTTGAAATGAAATTATTTAATAGCGGTCAAAATTTAATAATTTTGCTACGAAAATTATAACCAAAATAAAAATCAACTGATCGCTACTCCAAAAAATCTTAATCTTTCAAAACTTACTTTTAAATAATAGGCTAGGGCTAGGGGTTAAAAATTTTGAAAAAACTTTATAAAGTTTTTGTATACAAAGCGTCAAGTACAATACTTTTTGAACAAAAATAAGAGAAAATAGATCTGGAATAAAATTTGCAAAAACTTTTAAAGAAAAACAATGGCGAATTTTCTCTGAAAAAAAGAAAGAAAATTCTCACTTAAAAAAAAAATAAACCAGACAGAAAACTTGAAAAATTTTTAAAACTTTATAAATAAATAGGTGATAAACGTCAAATTTTAAAGTATTTATCAAACATAAGCAAATATTTTTTGGTTATAACAACCGAAAATTTTGATTTTGGATTATAAAAGTGTGAAACTTAGAAAAAAAGATCCGTGAATAATTTTTGGTTATTTTAATTTATTCTTAATTGAAAAGTTTTGAAAAAAAATTATTGATGAAAAAAAATTTTTTTCAAAAATTAAACCTTCAGACAACCAAGAAAAACATATGTTTCGACTGCTATAAGATTTGAAAAGTTTTTAAGATTCTTACTTTTACTTAACAAAATTTGAAAAAACTTTTCAAGTCAAAACCAAAACTAAACTTCGAAGCCAAAACACTTTATTTTGATATCAAATATCAGTCCTTCTATACAAAAGTATGATAAAGACTGATAACTAGCTCTTCGATAAGTTAAGACTTTTTAATTTCTTACAAAAAGTTTTCAAATTTATTTATTCAGTTTGCCTTAACTTCAAATACTTATCTTGAACTTATTATTAAATTTGGCAGATATGTATTTGTATTTCCATTGTTTCAGAGGGTTCGCTATTTTATCCTAAACGTTTTGTAATTAAACTTCACTGAAAACCGAATTTTGAAGGAGTTTTATTCGAAATCGAGAGATCCCATACTTCTCAATTCGTTTATAATTTGGTTTGTGACAAACAAAATTTATCATTACAAACAAACTTATGTTCATTTAAAATTTGAGTTTAATTTTTATATTAATATATTGATACCCTACCAATATGCTGTGATTTTAAAGTTCATTTCTACAAGTCATATTCATCTAATGAAATTTCATTTGAATATCCTCTGAATAACAATATATTAAAATAATGAAAATTATTCACATGCTCAAATACGAACTAATTACTAAACCTCTGAATGCTTGAATAAACTCTTATTCAAGCATTCTTAAAATAGCATCTTAATATATTTTTGTTTTAGCTACACTGCTCCACAGAAAATTTTTACGCTATTCCATAGCAACCTTACGCTGTAACGAAGAACGTTTTATACCGTAAATTTGCAGTTTTGTCGTTATGAAATTTGTGCCCTCATATCGAAGTACATCCGTTTATGACAGTGTGAGTTATCTCTTTACAAAAATCTATTTGCAGTCGCTTGACATTAGAGTTTGTCTATCTAATTAGATATTACTCCATATCTTAAATTTTGTTAAAACAAAATCTTCGTTTTGAAGTTTCGATAAAAAGATTTTTCATGAGCCCTTTTAAATCTTCATTTGAAGTTCAGTTGAAAGAAGTAGGAAGCCAAAATATCACGATTCCAATTCGAACGAAATCAGAGCCAAAGCAAAAAATATTAATGACGTGTGCAGTGCCATATGATATTAAAAATTATCTGTCATGGAAGTAGCGTGCATTGCCCATCAAATTGATGTTTTGGTCAAATTTTTTTTAGTAAACTTTGTAAAATATGAAAAAAAATGTAAAAAAATCTACTTCTCAAAAAGTTCAGTAGCAGTAAAAAAGCCTTAATATTGAAGATATTTTTGTTAATTTAAAAATTTTAAAAATCTTATTTTGAAGTTTTGCAAAAAAATGTGACCAAAAAGCCTTAATTTTGAAGATAGGTCTTCCCTTTTGGTAGCGCTGGTACGGAGGTTTTTGATATTGTTATTTTATTGCATTCTTAAAAAAAGTGTAAAATTTTGTTTAAAATTTTGAAATAATAAATAAAACAAACTTTCAAGCTCCAAGGATACTTCATAAAATAAAATACGGAAAAGAAAAACTTTTTTTTGTTTGTTTTTTGTGAATATATTTAATAATAATCTTTATTTATTCAAAATCAATTAAAAATTTTAAATAAAATTAATAAAAACATGTGTGTATACTCATAAAATTCATTATCCTACTAATTAAATGTAATTTCAAAAAGATTACACAATTAACTTATTTTTGTTTGTCGTTTAATAATTTACTCTGATATTTTGAAAACTAAATAATTATTTTCGGTAAAAATTTAAATTTAACATTTCTATTCATCTAAATTTACACAGACATTTAGTTCGTGTCATTTTTAATTTTTTTTAATAACCAACATTTTTGAAGAAAATTTTCAAATATACTTTTATTTTTATTTGAAACACTAATTTTGATGTGAATGATGCGTAAGGTAACCTTTGGTTTTTTTATAATAATTTTATATATTTTTATAACTTTCAGATTATTATCTAATATGTATTCTTATTTTTGTAGTGCGGTTAATTTATCTTTAGTTGAATTGAATTTTTAGTATAAAAAATAAGCTTTGTATTTTGTGTTTTTACATAAATTTTTTGGTTTAGCTTTTTGTTTTGTTTTTTGTAATTATGTACTTTGTTCAATTAACAATTTTTATTGTGAGGCTTGTGCAGGGGTACATTACTATATTAGGTATAATTTATACATACATATGTATATATACATATATATATTACATATTTGTATTTGTGTATATCAACATGTTCTTTAGTTTTTAGTTAGTTATTAGATACATATGTATTGTAAATTTTTTTTAATAAAGGAATATTAAAACGTGAAAAAATATTTACATAGTTAACAGAATTCTTATTTAAATTTTCTTGCTTATTAAAGCTTTCTTGAAAATTAATTTAGCTTTATATTTATCTTATTCTACATGAAGTATGAAAACTGTATATGATTATTGATTACATTTTATGTAATCATTCGATTAGAAAAATATTTTAACAATTTAATTAGCAAATCTAAGTATATGTATGTAGGTACCTACTTAGATATGTATGTACATAAATATGTAATTTCAAATTATGTGAATAGATACATAAAATGTCAACTCTATGAAGAATGAATAATCTATATGTAACCTACATTATATATTTTTCGACATTCATAGATAATTCCGTTAAAAATAACATTTACCCATATTTAGAGGGATGCAATGGTATTTAATAGGTCTTTCCGAAAAACTGAATAAGTAAACACTTTCATACATATATGTATGTTATTATAAGATCAATCCTCATGTGAAAAAACAGTGCTAACAATAAACATTTTTAATGTATTTTATAAATAATGTTAAGGTTTATTAGTTCTTGAGCAACATTAGGTAGGTATACTTAACTGGGTACCCAATTACCTATTAATACAATGTACACAAAATAATGATAAAAAAGATTGTGTTGTAATAAATAAACAGAATATGCAATTTTAATGTAAGTACATGTACAATTAGTTAAGTTGAAAATTAGTCCGAAATTAATAGAAAATCAAACGAAATTTTTTTATGGGAAGACTGTGCAAAAGGGAAGGCTATTACATGTAGGTTTTACGTAAGTACATATAACTTTTACATAGCCGTTATCCTTAGTTCTTTCTTGAGCTAGTACATGGGTATAGGTAAATACAGACCTTATTATATACAACTACATGCATGCATTATAAACCTTCATTCATAAATAATATTAATTTCTTTTGCAAATACTTTTTTAGTTTTTCAGCAAACAAAAAACTTAATTTACTTCTTTCCATACTTAACTCAAATTATTCAGAAGCTTAACGAAAAAAATAATTCCTACATCTTTCCCTAAATGTTTTAAAAATTTGACCGTTCTCATTGTTATACTCATTTCGCTTAAATTTCCGCATGCAAAAAAATTAGTCACATCTACTTCTTCTTATCATTTTGTTAACTTCTTCAGCTTTGCATTCTTAGCGTATTAATTTTTCTGAGATGCTTACTTTGTATTCTATATTATTCTCAAAATTGATTGACCAATTTGAACCAAAGAGAAATTTTTTGATCAAAATTTTAGCCACTTAACGTTTATAATTCTGTTAATTTAAAATCATTCATACTTCTTTATAATTATAAATCACAATTAAATTTTGCTTTACTTTTTACAAATCGTAGTTTTTTCACTTTTTTTAATAGAAGTGTTTATTTTCATCTTAATAGGGTTTTGAAATTGAAGAGATGTTTTTAGAGATATTATTGTGTGTAAACTTTGTGGTTAAAATTAACTTGTAAACTTAATATTATATAACTTTATTTTAATTAACTATATACGTACAATTAACTAAAACACCATTTTATAACAAGGTCTTATAACGATATTACATTTTTTTTAAATAATAATTTAAATAATAATTTGAAATTTTGCTTTATATTTACTTACATATTATTTAATATTTTGATTTTATTTACAACTTATTTTATATTACTAAGAAGAAATTTATAAAAATTTTTAAATTAAAAACTTGAAAAATATTTTTTGTTGAAAATATTAATTCGAGTTTAGGTAAATATTCCACAATAAAAAGAATAGAGCAGGAGCTCTATTGATCATTCAGCTATCTCTTTCTTTTCTTTTTTTACTACGTTATAGTTTTAGTAGTTATAATATTTTGACCAAAAATTTTGGTTACCCATCGAGGAAGTTCAAATTTCAAAACATATGAAATTGTTTTCTAATTTTATGTTCATCCAAATTATAGCTCAAGTAGAAGGCTTTCTTATGACTATTCCTTCAACTAAAATTCATAATTTTAAGAAAAATTGTCACATTTTAGTTGCTTAACGTCATGGAGAAACAACATAAATTATTTTGTAGATACATGGATATCTTACTGGAAATATTTTTCTTTTGATGTTTGTTTAAACTTAATAGGACAAATCTCTGAAGGTGCAGTTGAATAAGATAATATAATATAAAAGATGAAAGTGTTAAAAAGCCGGGGGAATATACTCTGTTTGTAACATAGAAAAAAAGAAAGTTATTGGATATACAAGAAAAAATATTTTTCATAATTTATATACGTACAGTATGGATAATTAATATATGTACGTAAAGAACAAAATTGAATTTATATCTACTTATTGAAATTATTTGTGACTTTTGCTTGTGCTATAAATTTGTCAATCATTTTTTACAAGTTTATGGAAAACTGTGTAATGTTATAATTTTTTTATTCTTGGGTTTTTTTTAGATTGTGATGCATTTTTTTCAACCAAATTTTGAAAAAATTAATATTACGCTCATGTATAAGAAGACAAAAATTTGTATCTGTTTATACATGGGACAATGAAGATGGACCAGAAAGTTCTTCTTCAGGAATGTATTCCTTCAATAAATCCCTTAACCGTAGAATTTCTTTTCCGGCTGCTGCTAAGTCACCTTGTAACGATAATTCTCTTTCCCTTAACCGTTTAATGTCACGTTGACACGTCTAAAAATAAAGAAAAAAAAATATGTTTATACCAAATGTTTCTTAAGCATGACAAACACAAATTTAGGTGATAATAAAAATTTTTAATTTAATGAATATTTGATTTAAAGGCTTTTGAACTTTATTTTGATGTATTATGAATTTTAGAAAATCATTTTTAAGTTTATTTGATATATTTAGATATTTGTTAAGATTAACACATTTTAAATATGAAATTCTGAAACCGTTTACAAATTAAACGCTTTGCTTTTTTCAAATAAAAAGTGTTTACAATAACGCATACCACATTTTGTCTCAATAAATCCAATTTATCACATTTTAATCTGGTTATTTCTTGCTTATAATTTTCAATTTCAAAAGCAATCTCATGATGGTCGCTAAAATGCTTTAAATCTTTATTACAGTTATTGTTATGATACTCTTTTTTATTGTTACTTGAACCATCAATACATAAGGAACAAGCTTTTGGCGTTGTTTCAGCAGATGACATCGACTCTAGACCTGTATCACTATCTATGTAGACAGCACCTTCTATGTTATTTACTGGATCTAAATCAATACTGTTTAAACTGGAGTCATCACTTGTTTCTGACATATTAGCCACAGAATTTCCATTGTTATTAAATGAAATTGGCAACTCATTTTGATTTGGGCTATGATTATTATTAATATGATTAATATTGCTCGTTGCCACATTTGGATGAACAATACTACAGCCCTGTTTTTGGCGAAAATTGTTGATATCGGGAGATGATGTTGTAGAATCCGATTTTTTTGTTTTTGATTTCGATCTTCCAAAAGTCTAAAAAGATCAAAAGTAAAAATGAGAAATGAAATTCAAAACATATGCGTAATTATTTCAATTATAAAAAGAAAAATATCAAATTTACATTCATGTATGATGATTCTAATTTCTTTGATCTGTCTATTGTATTAGTTAAAAATCCTTGGTCAACGCTGCTTTGTGATCGCACCCTGGAAATAAGCGCTTTTCGAACAGTGTCGATAAACCTTGTACCAGCATTACTAGTTTCCTTATTTGTTGCTTCATGCAAAGGGCTTATAGGATTAGATAAATCTGCACCTAGGAAATCTCTGGTCTTTTCTTTTAACTCTTCAACTAGATTTTGCAATAATGACGTTCTTGTTCTCAATTCGAGTTTTGAAAATTTATCTGCTTTATAACAAGCATTTTCAGCATTTATTAGTTTTGTTAATAAAAATTCTTTAAATTCTCTACTTTTTTTGAATACGGATGGATTAGGCAAAGTTGGACCAAAAAATGGCACATCATCTCGTGCTGTAACACTTATTTTATATCTTGTATTGAGTGTGTTGGGTTCAAGTGGTTGAATTACAATAAATGCATGCAGGAAATTACTAGCAATCATATCGGGTGAGAATGGCGTATTAGATTCTTGAAATACTATCGCAACAATATCGTTACCAATATGCCTCTTACGTTGTAATTGTTGAGAGTCACCTTCAGAGTATGGCAACATTGTTGAAACATGAAACATAATTTCCCGCTCTTTATATATTTCATATATTGCACTCTCTCCTGTATGTCCATTTTGTGTATCTAAGCCTCCACGATACCCTTTATGCTCCTTCAACTTGATTCTTTGCCCCAGACAATCTAAGAATTCATCGAAGGCTGAAGACGCGTTGTTATTTGAAAATAGTTCTTCTTCAGTGGTTTGTCCATATCTTTGGTATAAAACTCCAAATTTAAAATTTGTCACAATAACATGCTCATCATAACTAGCAATTAATTGAGATGCTTTCGGACATATAACCGGCATAAAATTGTCAACATTTATTTGATCATTTAAGAGTCGAGCCATTTTTATTGGACTTGGATTTGGTATGAGACAGGAGGCTGGTATTATTTCATGCATTGTTCCCGTTCTCAATCGTAATAAAATTCTAATATGTTCTTGATTAGCAACATTTTCATTTTTTATTGATAGCAATACAGGACCTAAATTATCATCATGCCCAACTAAATTTGAATGATCTCTTGTCATATAAAATCGCCGATAACATTTAGCTGTATCATCTGTTTCAAATTTTGCTCTCCATGCTGGTAAAGGCAGAACGGGATTTCCATGTGAATCAAATGCACATTCATGATCTGTCCCATCAACCCAATAACCACCATTTCGTGGTAAAACTATCATTGGATGTGGACCAGACTGTGATAAAGTCTCTTCGAGTAAACGTTGGGATGCTGATATTGTTGTAACAATTGATGATTGAGATGAAACTGATGAGTGAGATTGATATAAATAACCATTTGATAATTGGTGACTTATTCTATATGGTGATCCACTTTTAAATTGTCCCAATTGAGGTGAAGAAGGTGTAGAATTTGATTGTTGATGATTTTGATTTGAGATCGATGTATTTCTTAACATTGATGTTCGACTATTGGAATGCTGAAGTGTATTATTAAAGTGGCGATTTAACTGCGGTGAATGATGATGATGACTTTGTACTTGGTGTAACCTTTCATGTTGTTGCTGAGGAACCTGTAAGTAAATATAAAATAAGTTCATATGAGTTATTATAGAGGTTACTTTTTATGCTGGGACTACTATAACGTTGTTTAAAAGGGGACTAAAGAAATATAATAATCTAATTATTTACGTGATATAAATAATACTAGTGCCACAAAGCAGTGCAACTTACGTGGTCTCCCGCTTTTTATGTTTCACTAAAGAAAAAATTATTCTGGAAGTAGATTAACTTAACCTTTGGGGCCCAAAACCGCACTCTCACCTCCTAGTGGTGGGCCCTGGTAATGGTGGAGGATAAAGGGGTGATTGAAACGATAAAAGTTACGTTCGTGTCGTGGTCATGTCTCGCGGCGAACCTCTTGCTTTGTCAAGGCCTGCCTCGAAGTCAAGGTGGAACAGCATATGTCGATGTCTGCATGGCTAAGGAGGAGCTTAGTCGTTAGTATGCGGACTCTGGATACCAGGCGCCCTCCAGTTTAACATAACTCCATGGGAACAAGCCTTCCCATGGTATGCCGGGCTCTGCCATGGGTGACTATACTTTCCCGCGCTACTCGTGGGAACAAAATGGAGGATGTAAATAATAACAACAGAACAAAATGGAGGATGTAAATAATAACAACAACAGCAACAACAAGAACAACAACTGTGACAAATACAACAACTGCAATAACAATAACAACAACAACAATAACAACAGTGACAATTACAACAATAACAACAATACTAAGGACAACATTAATACAAACACAGTTAGTGCTCAAGGGTCTGCGGAACCAGAGCTTTTCTCGACTGACGCAGAGGAGGAAGTCCTTCTCACGCCAGTAGAGGAAAAGGCGGCGCCTCCGATGGAGACGAATAGTCAGGATCCTTTTGGACCTATTATCCAACAAACTGAGGAGGACCTGAAAAGATTGGACATCAGAGGAAACAAACAATATTTCTCTGGTGCATCCAAGCGGCGTATCGCAGCTTATATCAGGGATGGCATGACCCCAGAGGAAGCTCGCAGATATGAAAAGGAAAGGCTAGAAAAGCTGTGGACCTGCGTATCGCGTGTTGTGACCGACCATCCTCAGAAAAGGGAAAGGTCAGAAAGCAACGCCCTTCAGGCAGGGCCCTCAAAATGAGGTCGATGAAGGGCAATGTTGAGGGAAAGTTCCCTGGGAACATTCCTCGACAAAACCTGAGAAGGACTTCTTATCGGGATGCAGTAGCACGGGTCAAGGTGGCCATCACTCATGGACTGCATCCAGAGGAAACGCTATCCGAAGTCCAGATGGAGAAAATCAAAGTAGCCATCATGAATGAAATGGATAAGGTTGTGGTTCTCATCCACAATTCACTGCAGCGTTGCAAAAGGATGGATGGATATCCGTAACATGCAACAATCAAAACACCAGGGAGTGGATAACCAGTGTCTGCAGGAAGATAAAGCCTTAGGACGGTTGCAATGTCGTTGTACTGGATGGCGAAAACATGCCGAAACAGCATGTCTGCGTCACCTACGTGCCAAAGGACGAGACAACCGTCAGTTTCTCCAGGGACAAATTCCTAAGCAGGATAGGAAAGAAAAACCCCAGCCTCAAGATGAGTTCCTGGAGGGTGGGAAGAAAAATCCCAGCCTCAAGATGAGTTCCTGGAGGGTGCTGAGGATGGATAAGGAAAAGGACGGGGGCTGCTCCATCACCTTTTCCGTGGATGATTCCGGATTAAAAGACCGTTCGGGTTAAAGGAAGGAAATCCTCTCAAGGTGCTGGCGGCAGGGCAGGACAAAATAAAAAACCAACGCCCACCGCGATAACGACGAACACTTAAGGCCAACCAAAAGAGTCAAAACTTATTGGAAAGTCTGAAGTCGCTCCGAAAGCGGCGGCAAGGGAAACGGAAGGACCATCGACAAATACAAGCCAAATACAAGCGTCCCGGGTGAACCAAAAGGGCTCAAGCCCGGCTAGTGTGGCACCTTGGACGGCGAAAGAGGCTGTAGCAGAGCAGGCGCCCATCAAAATATGTAAAAAGGCGGCAATGAAAAGCAAGGCTCATGTAAAGCCTTTGTCTAAAGAGCCAAAGCCCATAGACAAGAGTCGCAAGAAATGATATGGCTGTGAGGTGCACCCAAATAAATCTACAGCTTGCTAGGGCATCTACTGATGTTCTAGCTCATAGATTTATGAAGGATCACCTCGATATCGCCCTTATCCAAGATCCTTACATAGTGAAGGATCAGGTTAAGGGCCTAACAGATGAGCTATTGTATGATAATACAATTGGAGGCAGGCCTAAGGCTAACGTATTTTCCCATTCCAGATTACTATTCTAAGGATCAGGTAGCTGCGTTGGTGAAGGTGAAGTCTTTCGGGGGGTTGGACAGAGTTTGTGTGCTCATCCTAGCTCCCGGGAGACTGTGCCCACCCAAACGAACAACTAAAAGATTTAGTGGATTTTTGTGAAAGGAGGAACTTCCAACTGATAATAGGAAGTGATGCCAATGCCCACCACATCGTCTGGGGAAGCAGTAATATAAACAAAAGACGTGAGTGCCTACTTGAATTTATATATAGCAATAAATTAATGGTTATGAATGAGAGCAATAGTCCGACATTCATAAATGCAATTAGGGAAGAGGTCCTTGACATCACCCTTTGCGCTGAGTTTATCGGCAGTAGGGTTTGTGGATGGCATATCTCAAATGAGACATCCATGTCCGATCAGAGGCAGATAAGGTTTGATATCATGGTCTTCGGGGGCCTAGCAGAAGAAATGTATCGGATAACCCAATCCACAGATTGGAGTCAATTCGAAACGCTGCTCATGGATGTGATTGGATCCATTCCTGCTTGTCAGAACGGTGATGGAAATCGAACTGGCCAGCGAGACTCTGACGTCGGCTATTACAAGTGCCTAGCATGGGAGCTGCCGCGCTATGCCAAGGCGGAGCAATAGGAAGTGCCCGTGGTGAAATGAAGAGCTTCAAAGACCAGAAAGCTATTCAATAAGGCCAAGGCGTCGAATTCGTGGGAAGAGTATAAAAACTCACTCATGAAATACAATAAAGAAATTAGGAAAGCGAAGAGAATTTCGTGGAGGGTGTTCTGCAAGGGCATTGATGAACTCTCCAGCAGTGCGCGTCTTCACAGGGTGCTTTCCAAAAAGTATGCTAGTGGGTTGGGCCTAATGGAACGGCCTGATGGCTCCATGACTGAGAACGGAAAGCCGACGTTGGAGCTTATGGCGTCAACGCACTTTCCTGACTCGGAGATTCTTCGGAATCACTCAAATGCGGTCATTGAACCGAGGGCATTCTGGCCCAGGAGGGATGACTGGCAACGATCCCGTCTGATCTTCACGATGGGCAGGATTAGATGGGCTGTTTTCTCTTTCAGGCCCTTCAAATCTCCAGGTGAAGACGGGATATATCCTGCATTTTTGCAGAGGGGTTTCAAACATATCGCTAGAGCACTGTTGGAAATTTTTCGTGTCAGCTATGCGTTACATCCCTCAGGCATGGGGGGTGGCTAAAGTGACGTATATTCCGAAGGCGGGTAAGCGACCAAGCAACCACTGGTTTTTCCGTCCAATCAGCCTTACTTCTTTTCTATTGAAGGCAATGGAAAAGTGGTTGATAGATTTATACGGGACGAGGCACTGGGAAGAAATCCCTTGCACGAATCTACGCCTATCAGTCGGGAAGGTTATTGTACTCGCTCTGCAGAGTCTGGTGGGGGTCCTTGAAAACTCATTGGAGGTGCGGGAGGTGGCAGTTGGCTGCTTCCTTGATATAGAGGGAGCTTTTGACAACACTCCATGTCATGTCATCTGTAAGTCGTTGCACAAACGAGGAATTTATGCGACGACGAGCAGATGTGTTAATCGGATGCTACAGGATAGGATTATTAAGCCCACCATAGCTAATGATGCACACTTCATTTCCGCTGCAAAAGGGTATCCGCAGGGCGGCGTCCTTTCGCCGTTCCTGTGGTCCATTGTAGTAGATGATCTAACAGTTGCTCTCGAGGGCTCCGGGGCTCTACGCGTCGATTGTATGGTGCCTGCCTGGGAGTGACCGGGGCAATGCGGACGACTACTACCTCTGCATTGGAAGTGATGATCGGGTTGCCGCCACTGCACCTCCATATATTGAAGGAAGCTCGGCTAGTGACTTACCGACTTCTCTCTAGCGAGGACGGGGCAGGGCTAAAGTTGGTCCACTGGACTCACAGAGACTTCATTGAGAGCGACCCGATTGAGTCGGATTCGAGCGTGTGGTATGCGGACGGGTCCAAAACGGAGTCGGGTGTGGGTTCGGGTGTATACGGTGTCCGCCCGGACACGCGTGTATACGCAACCCTTGACCTGTATTGCACGGTGTTCCAGCCCGAAATACATGCAATAGAGATCTGTCTGAGAATCAATTTAGAAAGGGGGTATAGAAACCGCACCATCTATGTGTACTCGGACAGCAGGGCTGCACTGCTGGCGCTTCTTTCAGCTCAGGTTACATCCAAGCTGGTCTGGGGCTGCCTTGCTGCACTTATGAAGTTGGCATCGGAGAACAGAGTCATGCTCATTTGAGTGCCGGGCCATAGTGACCATGCGATTCCCTTGAAATCTACAATCTTAACCACACTTTTGAATATTGCGCAGGATTTCCCATTAGCAGTAAAATTATCCAATACACTATCTAATAATTATCTGGATTTTGTGTTTGTTAATGTCTATTATAAGATCTGAAATTATTTTTTATTATAAGATCTGAAATTTATTGTATTATTATTTAAGTTTTTAGTACTGCATCATTTTTTTAATCATAATGCTGTCATAATATAAAATTAAAGATTTATTTCGATGTTAAATCAAAATATTTTTTTACTGCTCTTTCTTTCTACATTTTTACCAACTGCATTGCATACAATAAGTGAGGTTATGTGATGGCAAAAAACTTTACATATTGACTTTTCAGTGCAAACGGAATTCTCCGTAAATAAATTATTTTAAGTCGTAGATTTTAATCATACTTAGAGAACTGGACCTTTTTGTGGGCCGATTTTACATTTTTGTGCATATAAAGAGAAATAATAAATTAATTTCCTT